AAAGAAATACTTGTTATAAAAATATTTTTCTGTTATTTAGCTCATTACTTAAAATAGAAATCAAATATAACGAAAACTATTGTGCATTATTTTACAGTAATCACCAATAAAATTGTTATATACTGCAGATGCATCAAGAAAAATTATTGTTAAATAACTTTTTAATCATTAATAAATTCACTTATTGTTTATCATTTTTATAATTTACTAACAAATTTAAAAAATAAAATGTAAACAGATAACTCGTATACTATATATACATATAAGATATAAGTATACATATGTATCTACTAAAGTTTTGAAAGTCTTTACATATTGTTTACACAGGCGGACACATGGATGCATGAGCACGTGCATACATACATGCGCGTATATTGGATAAATTTAGTGCTAAATCACTTATGATATCTCTGATAACTAGTAAATTTAATATTCAATATTGCTTATTTTTATAAAATTTAATTATATTTAAAAAAAAAAAAATGAAATGAATCATTATTATAATTATCTAATTTAATTGTAATATAAATTTTTTATTAATGTAACAAATTTTATAACGTATGTTTCAATAATATGAACAACATACGTTAGCAATTTTTATTCTTTTTATTTTTGGTTGATTTTTAAATATCTCAAACCAAATTCTTGATAAAGATCAATACTGATTTTCTTTGAACTACAATTGTCTATTAAAATATGAAAGAAACAATACTTAAATTGTTAACAGTTTTGCAAATAATAATTTATTTTGTATCAAATTGTGTATAATACATATTATATTTAAACGAGTGCTACTGTCTGATTAATAATTATTATAATTAATCAACTAATATTGATAGTAATATTTTGAATAATTAGTTGTTAATAGTACATACATATGAGTTGTTTTATAATTACCTTTAATTATTCAATTTTAATGAAAATTGTAAAATTTAAAATCTATAATTAAGAATAAAATTGCTCAATAGTCTAACCTAAAATATTAATTTTCTTTTATTTAGAAAAATGTTCACAAAAAATAAATTAAAAAGACATTTTAATTAAAGAACCAAAGTAAAGGAATTAAATAAAACATTCTGTTTTTTATATTGTGGTTATCAAAATTAATCATAATTCCTAATTAGATTATATTTTTTAATCTTAATAGAACTTCCACCATCTTTTTTATAATATTTTTAGATTAACCTTGCCGATTACTTTATTACTGTAGTGTCAATTATTAAGGCTAATGATTTAACATCTAAACATAAGTAATGTAAGAGACCGAAAATCGTTATATTACGTTGCGGAAAACTAATACTATAGGTTATATTATGTTGAAAAATTATATTCTCGATGACTCAATTTATAATATTTCTTAAAAATTCACTTATTTAGTATTATTTAAAAATTTTTTTTTACTTTATAATAATATTATCGGCAAATTAAAAGGAAGGCTAGAATATAAATATAAATATAAGAATTTTAAACTAAAACTTTAAAAATTTGAACACTTCTTCAGTTTTAAATAATATTCTAGAGAAAGACATTCCAATTTTCATTATGTATTATTTTTATTAAATGATAAATCATTGCATTACATTATCATTTCTATTTAATAAATTTAAATAGTTTATACTTTTACACTATAAAATTTGAATAACCAGTCAAATTTTAATGTAACTAATTTTGTTTCCAAAATAAAATTAAGCATATATTCACAATTTATCATAAACGTTTCCTCCACTTAGAATGTTTATTTATCTACAATTTTATCATTATAGAATGATTTTTGGATAATTAATTATTAAGATTAGAAAAAGTTCACTAATGAAAATCTAAATATTGTAGAAAAATTGTTAATGGGGCATGAAAAGTCTGGATAAGAAATTCTTACTACATTGCTAGACAGTGACTAATATACTAAAACTTCGATTGTCACTAATTTAAAACTTACATATTAAAAAGACAATACAAATGAACTACTTTTTTCTAAATTATATATACGTGCAAAATAATTTTTTAAGCTTTTCGAATTTCATATCTTTGTTATAAATTTATTCACCTATCTGGATACTTATTATATTAATAGTTTCTCACTCGAGTGTATAGAAACAGAAGTCGTATAGATATCGAAATAATCAAAAAAGGAGGAAATGTAAATACGGAAAATAGTGATATTAAATTATAATAAAAATTTGTCAATATTTTAATTAAATTTGCCTGCTGTAATATGCATTACAGCGCCAAATTTCGGTAAATAAAAAATCACTTCGATATAATAATTATCTTATTATATCTTGTTTTTCATATATCAGCCAATCGAGATATATTTTTTTTTTTATTGAAAGTTAAACAATTGAATTATTTTTTAATCATATTTTATAATAATCATTTTTTATGTACTCACATAAAGGAAAGCATTTTACAAATTGTACTTTTATCTTGCTTTTATATTACATATATAATTATTAAATAAATTATTTTCATGAAACAGTTCATTAAAGGTAATAATACAAAAAAAAATGTGTAAAATTCAATTAATTATTTTCTATGTTGAATAAAATTCATTTAGGTTTAAAACGCACTGAAAAACTAATAATATTCGAACATTTTATTAAGAATTTAATTCTACTGCGATGTTGATATGTTGTAATACTGTAAAGAATGATAATAACTGTAAAGATTTGTGTTAACATATTTTACAGTTTGTTTAATAGTTTATTATACAGTCAATTAAGATATAATTAGAGTATAAATCTTCTCTTTTTCGTAATATAACAATTGACTGAATAATATTATATAATTCGTAGAATATTTTCCTACATTCAAGCTTTTCAACTATCTATATAAATGATGTTTACCTCGACAAGTCTATTTATAATGCAAAAAGTACTTGAGGTACTAATTTAACAAGACTGTTACTTTTATTTAGTAACTGTACTTATTTTTTTTCCAGTTTATTGGAATTTTTTCAATTACACCAATCGGTAGTATTCCGTGAAGCTTTATATTTACGTTAAAAATAAAAGTTTAAACTGTTAATACTTGAAAAAAATAACTGTGTAAAATATAATTAATATGGATAATAAAAATATGTATAGAGTAAATGTTAATTCAAATATATATTAGAAAATATGTATTATACGTATATGTTTTTGTTTTTGATTATACGTAACAATTAACGTATTTAATTTGTTAAATTAAAAATAAAAGAAACATCGCAACTTATGTAAGAATTCGGCAAAAAATGTATATTTAATTGTGGAAAATTGATAATAGCTGAAGATTATGAGTTGATTAACATATTGAAATCTTTTATTTTCGTAATCATTCCATGGTCGAACCATCCACGAATAGGGTATCATATACGCAAAGAAAATATTGTTTGTCAACATTTTATTTACATATGTAAATATGTGTATAAATGCATCACTGACTTTTGTTTCGCGATATCCGTAAAACATTCGCTATAATGCGTGGAAAAAAGTTCGCTATAAAATTATATGTGTAATATGCGAGCGAAGGCCAAATAGAGGCAGCAATGAACGATTATTAAAAATTCCATATTATCTCTTACTGTCGAACCTTGCTGTTTGGTTGAAATTGATATTGTATACTGAAAAATTTTCAATTTCAGATATAAAAATATGCATGAACAATGGTACGGGTTTTTTTTTTTTTTTTTTTTTTTTTGCATAAACGAGCCTTTGAAACGAAAAATATTATTACTATATATACGTTTTTACACAGATCATTATCTTTCACGAAATTAATTCCTATATATTCACTCTCTCGTGTCAATGCTAAAGTATACGAACAGATAGCTATTGCGATTGTATTATTGTATGTTCCTGGGAGGTGCGCCCTCCTTGAAGTCGCGAGTATTAAAAGAGTACAGAAAATATACGATATATTAGATCCGAGGGGAAAGTGCACGGCTTATTGAGATTTCATTTGTCCGAGAAGAGAAGATTCAGAATGTATCTTACAATATGAATTCGCAGCTAGAAAATCAATGAATCAGTGCTGCAATAATATAGCAATTTTCCATTGATTAAATTTAACATGGAATTTATTGACAAATTGGATTGAGGCCAGTCGTTACATATTATTTCACTTAATTAAAATAGTTGTAAGAATTATTGTATTATTTTACAGTCGATTAAAAATTTCAGCTCCTTTTGCTTTAATAATACTCCGTAATTCCAGACTATTTTCATACGATAATTAAAAGAACGTCATAAAAGTATCTCAATTTTATCCTTATACGTACGTTGTGCTCATGCATTGATGCATTCATTTTATTTTGTCGTTTCGACTAAATGGTAAGAACTACTTTGGTTAGAAATACAAAAAATACGTAAAAGCCCCGCAGAATATAAGTCTAAGATGAAAAAAATGTCAAATCTCCGTGCGTGTGGGTATCAATAATTTATATTGGATTTTGTTATTTTTAATTATCACAGGCATTCCGGGCAGATTACCGATCAGCCACAGCAATAGCGCTTTCACTTATAACTCGTCGTGCAACGCGCTTCATTGAATAAAATCGGTGAATTAAGAAAATATGAATATTCGCTCGTTTGTCACAAGTCAGCGTTTAGACTCAAAAAGGGTCGATATAAAAGACGCTGTTATTCTAACTGTATCGCAAAGACCAACGGCAAACTCGTGACCGCTTATCGAGACTCGACAGCCAATGCCGATTCCCTTGGAAACGGCGCCCCATTGAAAGACCTGGGAAATCGTAGCGCGCGCGGCTCCCGTTCGCCATTATTTCAGTCTCGTGAATTTCCTTTTGTTCGTTAGCCTAGGAAAAGCAGTGGTAGCAGCAGCGGCGGCGGTGGCGGTGGCGGCAGCAGCAGTAGCAGCGGCAGCAGCAGCAGCAGCAGCAGCAGCAGCAGCAGCAGCAGAGACGGCGGCAAAATCGGCGACGACGACGACGACGACGACCACGACCACGACCACGACCACGACCACGACCACGACCACGACCACAACGACAACGACAACGACGGCGGCGGCGGTGGCGGTGGCGGCGGCAACGGCAGCCAAGCGCCCATTAAGAGGCGGCCGAAAAGGAGAAGAGAAAAAAGGCAGCGGTGCGCCGAAAGCATCGCGACGGCCGATCCGCTAAAAATAAAGAGGGGGCGAAGCGAGCGAGCGCTCCCCGAAGGGTATTAAGCGTGTCATGCCAAGCGCCGCCGACGACGGTGAGAGAGCCCGTAGCAGCTGCTTCTACGTGCAACGTCGTCGCCATCGGCGCGCTGCCTGAGGCAGCCCTAGCAGCCGACAGACTAGCCAGCGTAGGGGAGGCACCGGCTCGACGTTATGGAGAGGCTTTCGACGTTTGCCTACCGCATTGGATGGCCCTGGAGGACGGTCAAAGCCCTCGAGGAGAAGGCCCGTCGTAGGCAGAAGGAACTCGAGGAGAAAGAGCGACGGCAACGCCAGTACCAGTGCAGCTTCTCCGATGTCAGCAAGAGGCTCATCGATGTCATCGAGAGCGTTCTTCTCTGGGAGAACGCTTATAATAGCATTTCCGTCGCCATGGCATTCAACATTCTGTTTTGGTGCGTTTTAGTCACTTATCATGTAATAGCAATGATGCTTATGTTCGGATGTAGACTTTCCACCATCCCATAACCCTATTTCACGGCACTTTCATTTTTATTAGTGATGTTTAAGTGATGGTCTGTGCTCTTGTCATTTCGTTTTATGCCGTGATCGATGCTATGAGCATTTATGAACGAAAAGTAATTTATTCGTTTTGTTGTAAAATCGCAGGTTAGTTTCTGAAAAAATATTAACTATTAAATTTGTTTACCTTAAAAATACGATGAAACTATTAAGATGAATTGATGCCAAGACCAAAAATGAATGAGAATCCAAACTCGAGGTATACTAATCATATATATATATATAATTAGTATTATTCACAAACTCTACGTGCCGTCATTTATCAAATATATTATCATTTATAAAGGTTCGACTTAATTTAAAATATTCTTTATGTTATAAATAGTACAATTAGATCAGCTATAATTAAGAACAGAACCATATATTTCCAAGATTATTTTTTATTTGTGCATATATATATATATATATATATATATATATATATATATATATATATTATATATATATATATTATATATATAAAGCTTAAAATAATTGATAATTATGCTTTTTTATACATAATACTTTTATAATCTTGTTGTCACGAATTAACTCGAATATTTAACTCTCAGTCACAATTCCCAAAAAAAAAATCACAAAATATTTTGTTTTCACGAAATAATATCTTTGTAATATAATTATGATTAACGGCTCTTTGTTCTTGTTTTAACATACGTTGATCCATATGTCACTGTCAAAATATTAATTACGCTTGTTTATTAAATTAATTTTATATGAGTAACCGTATGTAATGTTCGAATAATGATGACATTATTTTTGTATTCTGAATCACATTTTAGTAAACCTATTTTTTACATGGAATTTTATTGTAGCTCTATAGTCGAAAATTTCATGCATTTAAAATCTGCACTAAAACGATGCAATACAAAAATATTATGTAAGAGTTGGCTATATGTATCAAATAGTTTTTCCGTAGAAATTTACCAACAAGAAAAACTAATAATGATTTTATCTTTTTTCTTTTTCTGTAACGCATAACATAAAGCACTCGAGTATAAAGTTTTTATAAATTTGAATTATGTTATTTATAAAGTATATGGTAACCTTGTTTACAGCACTATTTATACGTACTGTTAAAATTAATTTTTTCTTATAATACGTACAATTCTTTTCATATGAAAATAATGAAAATAAATTTTCCATTTAACTTTTTACTAGACAATATATTAAACATTTCTTAAGTCATCGATGTCAATTAAATATCTACATAGTGTTGTTGATAAATAAATCAATAAAGTAATGCTTGTATATCTTAAAAATAGGAAGTTTTGGATTATTCTCAATAGCAGAGTGTTGTTTTTAGATTTAAGATTCTTAAGAAAAACTTAGTTATCCTAATAAAATGATAAATTCGATAATTTATTATCTCCTACTTATTTTCATTATAGTTGATCTGATATATAGTATATCTGATAAATATTGCTATTTATACGTATGTATTATAAAGGGTTAAAGAATATTAATACATTAAAACGCTTTCAAGCTTAAATAAAAATCAATTTTTTAAACCTACATTCAATTTAAAAACTTTGAAATTGTACGATATAATATGGGAAGAATAACATTAGCTAAAAGGATATAGTTCTTGGCTTAATTAGAAAAAGTTCAAATAATAATTGTCCTATTATAGATGAGAAATAACTTCTAACTTTCGTTGCGCTTCCTTCCCAATCGCTTTATAGATCGAAAATATCGTCCGATTTCGACACTGTTTATCCATCCGGTCAAGAGCGAACACACGAATGCACAAAAGTGTCGTGAGCCAATGACAGAGTACGTATGTATTCCTCGCGATTGGTCGGCATTTTTTATTTATTTGCACTCACTTTCACGCCCACATTTTCGGAGCAAGGTGAGAGGAGTGAGAGAACGAGGAGAAGCTCTATTAACTGCAAATTAAGCTTTGACATATTTTTTTTTTTTTTTTTTGGATTTGTCGATTACATATTTAATGGAAGCCTTTGGTGAATAAAATAATGAAAAATTTTAAAAACGAAAGTCTTGATTACAAAGTAAGCAACGTTTTGCTTGGTTCAAAGTAAATATTTTGCGCACAATTGTGCTCATCGGCCTTTTCTATAATTTCTTTTCTTAAAAAGAAATTTCATTGTTCAATTATATTATTGAATGAAAATATTTCAATTCCAAATAATTAATACTATGTATAATTAGATAAAAATACAAAACCTATGAAACATCTTTTTAAAATCCAAGGCAATATAAACACGAATAATCTATTTTTGGTTTAAACCGAGTGTTTATGCTGTATTTAAACAACTACTCTATTAATAATGTTGCTCATAAAAATGTGGCTTTCAATTACATTAAATTAAAAAAAAAAAAAAAAATATATATATATATATATATAAATGTGTGTGTTATATAATTTCATAATACGTAACTATTTTGCATGATTTCAAGATAAATTAATACAGCCGTCTTAGAGCTCAATAATTGTTATACTATAAGTTAAATCTTTCTCTAAAAATTTGTAAATAAGTCTTTCATTTAAGATTTAATTATTTAATTTAAGTATTGTTTTTTTTTTTTATTAGATCTTGGGTTTGAGATAAATAATAAAATAATACTCTTCTGATTCTTAATTAGAATTATTAGATTATATTACGCTTATATCACAAAATTATTATAATTCAGAAAATTATATAAAAACTAATATTATCATTATAAGCTTTATACAAATGTTAGTGTCTTGTTAATTAATATGCAAATTATGATACTATATTTAATATCTTCATTATTACAACAAAGAAATTATTAATAAAAAATATATTTCGCAATGTTTTATTAATTTATTTTACATGAGGAGCATTTTAAATTAGATATCACACATACTAGATCATATTATCTAGATCTTTTACAATTTTGCACTAACTAAAATCTTAACTATTTGCATATTGATAAAGTGATCTCAAAAGAGACATTGAGTATTGTACGTACAGTAATGAATTGGACGTCGTGGGAGTTTTGCAGTAAATTTATAATACATTAGCATATTTATATGATGTTGCATATTAGCAGTAAGAAAAAAAAATTTTTCATTTTCATTTTTAATAACAAATAAAAACAAAATGCAATTACTTTAATAAGCTAATTAAAAACTTAATGTAAGTTTTTTTCATTGTAATAATAAAAATATATTTATCCAATAAATGTTGACGATATTATATAAATTTTAATACCATTTTTAACAAACTCACTTTTTTATCGTGATTAATTACATAAATAAAAGAACAATTTTCAAATTATTATAATTAAAGTCAAATTTATTATAAATCATAGTAGGAGTATAATAATTGTTATTCTATTTCTTATTTCGTTACTCTAGGGGTTTCGTAGTACTCGAAGTGCGTGGCTTTGCAGCAGCCAGCAGTGCTGCTCTAGTTATAGTACTTTGTTACAGTACATTGGAGACCCAAGAGGAAGTACCAAATTTACAAATGTAAGTTAAACCATTTGTTTATTATTATTATTATTATTTTTTTTTTAATTTAATTTATTAAACTCTTTGTCTTTTACTTTTTGATAATTAAAATTTACTTAACAATCGTGAGATTTATCGATTAAAACTTTTGTTTATTTTGAAACGATCGGTGATGTATATTTATCTATATTTTTAAAGTATTTATTTGGTCCGAAGAAAGAGTTGATGTACTTTAATGTAAATTTAACAAAATTTTGTTAATAATACATCGATATTTGTGTTTCTTAGTGAAGTTCTTTCAAATAATTTTCAGTATTTTTTAAACATTACCTTGCCAACTGCAAATTCCATATTAATCATTCTACTAGTATTCTGATAGCTTGGCATTAATAATACGTAAACAAGTCGAATGTTCTCATGCTATATAACATAAACTGAATATCCACCTCGTGCATCAACACCCGCCATTTAAAATTAATTCATTTAAAAGGGGTTTATCTATTTAAACATTATAGTTTGTAATGATTAATATGTTTAATAAATTTTCGACTCATCTTATTAGATATTTATAGGACAACTATTTAAGATTTTGTAGATAAACAAAAGGTTGTATATTCAGTTGTTTCACAGCCTTATATTAAACATGAAAAAGCTTATTTGCCATTATATTGGAAACCCATAGTATTACTTTATTGTAAAATGAAACTTATGAACTTTTTATGCATGCCACATGTTTAAAACATTTATATAATCTTAAATTAATATTGATAAATGCAAATTTTTATATTATCTAGAAAAATTTTAATCATTCTATTCATAATATGCAAAAATCATTTTAATTAATTTTGAATATATTATTACCCTCAGCCATTCGTTCATTAAATTTATGATATAATATAAGGAAATTTTATGCAGAAATACTTAGTATTTTACAATATACAATTGAAAAATTTTTTAAAAATAATATTCAATGATTATACAGATTTATAAAAAAAAAAAAAATTGTATTTTCAACGTAATAAAATTTATGATTAAAACATATGTTCTTTATTTTATTGCAGTTGGCAATCTAGAAACGAACAGTTGGAAAAATTAGTTAAAAAAGTTAAATTGACCTTTGAAAATCTTCTTCATATGCAACAAGAACAGCCTAAAGTGGTAAGAATACATTGTTGGCTTTAACCAAATTACTTACAAAGCACAAAGAATGAACTAATGGTTACAAATAATTATAGTTCTGTATTATCATATGTACTATTTCACTGGGTCTTTGGCTTATTGGACGTAATTTGGATAGTATTTTATTTACTTATACATTATGTATGGGTATTTTACTTGGTCCTGCATTCCTTCTACGGCTTCTTTGTAAAGAACTATCATATAAAGGTATGGGTACGATTATATTATAAATCAAATGAAGTAGACAAAAATAATATATATAGAATTATTTAATAAAAATAGTAATAATAATAAGAGAACAATAATAATCTTATATAAGCTTTTTAATTAATTTAAGAGTGGGATAATGAAATGGAAGAATTCTTACCAGCAGTAACAGAAGATAGTCTTCAAGTATTAAAACGGGCAGGTGAAACTGGCGATCGTTCCCCAACACCGCCAAATCAAGATATGAACATCTCGCGTGGTATTATCTATTTTTACATATAGTTTTTACCATAATTTTTTATTATTAACTGCATTTGAAAGCATATTAAAGAACCATTCAGTGCAAAGAAAATTTATAAAGGAACTATTTAAACACATTCTTATATAATAATGTTCCTTGTGGTGTAGTAACAGTTTTAGAATAGAAGTTAAATCTATTGATATTATAAATATTTAAAAAATAATATATATTTGTGTGAAAACAAATATTTTCAGGATAATGAAAATTATGATTAATGACTTTTTTTTCAATTTTGTAAAATTTTGCATATCGTACAACGAACCTTTTCATATTGTATATATAATTAGTTTTTGTAAAATCTATTAAACTATATCTGTTTAAAAAAAATTAATAGATATATATATATTTCTAGCTATATATTATTAAAAAAAATTTTATTTTATTTTACGAAAATCTTTTATATTAAACTTAATTCTCTTCCGAATCATCACAAAATTCTAATTTTACGTTTTAATACAGAATCTCTAAAAATAATTTTCTGAGTATATTAATAATACTATATACTAACCTTTTTTTTTTTTTTTTTTTTTTTTTTTTTTTTTTTTGTTAGTAATCATTACTTAATTGAATTAAAACAAAATCATTGCTTTTTTATAAAATATCTAAATGGATATTTACTTTAAAAAATAGGAAAGAATAAAATATAAAAATCTAATATAAATTAAAGAAATTATTTTTAGGTAAATTAATACTTAATTAAATAATTAGATATAGTTTGTTTGTTTTAAGAAATACATAGAGCTAATAAATTAATCATAGTTATATGAGAATTCTTTTAATATTTAATATTTTTATCCTAGATCAATTTAATGATGAAGACTTGTTTGACTTAAAAATTCCATCTCATGATGACGGTAGTACGGATGGACTCGAACTTTCTGAACTTGAGCTTAGCAATAGTGAAACCGATATTGATGGTATACGTTTCCAGACTGGGTACTTTGAACGTGATTCTTCTTCCTCCGATGATGACGTAGATCTCGGATTGGGGTCGAAGAAATTTAACGAGGACGACTATGATAGCGAAAATAGCGAATTTGAGATTATTGATAGTCGCGATGTAGCCAATCTCAAGAGTGTTTGAGTAGAATTATCCAGATTATTTAAAAGAAAATAATCCAAAATAAAATTTATGAGAATATTATATTTCTTAATGAAAGGGTGATGCGATTATATAGGACATAAACCGGGTTGAGATCGTTACTTTTTTGTCGTGTCTCATAGCCCGATATGTATGAGTGAGTGTATAACTTGAAAGAAACAGAAGATTGTTTAGGATGAGAACTTTTATCTGTTAAATCAATCACTCTGTGTATAATGTACCTGGCTTTCTTCGCCGTGTAGGTGTTTTTGCTTTTGCAATGGCCTTTCGTAACGTACGCTATCAAGATGTTCGTTACACAATAATCTTCGTGTTTTTTTTTTTCTTTTTTTTTGTAACAAGCACCACAATGAATTCACCAATATATACTTTAAATTTATTGATTATATAATTGAATGAATTATATGTATATTTTACCAATTGTTTGGCTTTTTTCGGTAATTCATTTTATATGTGAAAATTAAATTTTATTTTTTACTTATCTCAAATTAATTATATTTCCATTTTTTGATTTTACTTCATATTTTATCTTTTGCATACACTCGTGTGATAGCGAGTAATAAATAAATATTGCTTATTTCTACAGCAAGTCTGTAGTATTGGATGCGGATAGATAAAATTTATTTATTTATGTATAAATAAATATACAGACCTATTTAGTGATATAAGTAGTAGAATCATATTTAATATTTATAAGATTTAAAAAGAAATATGTACAGTTTTCTCGACTAACCGAGTACAAATTTAAGGAAAAACAGTTTGACATATTTCCGTAAGAACGTTTGTGTATCAAAAAATACACACAAGAAAGCTCAAGATGCGTTTGAATAAAGAACATCGATTTGAAAAGGCCTTAGTTATCACTGTTTCCTTAATAACAAATTTTAATATAATTAACTGTTATCATTAATAACTTCTTCAGTCTCACTTTGATTTTGTAATTCATCCAAATTATTCATCACTTTTGTAGAAACTGGTTGAGCATTTTTACGTTCGGGTAAAACTTCTAGAAATGCTTCTTGCCAAGTCTTACCTTCAGTAACTTTGAGAATTATTTCAAATACTAGAAAAAAAAGATTTTTTATTTATTACAATAGTTAATAAACATTATTGTAAAATAACCGAATGAGAATACTCTTTTAAAAATAAGAAAATTTCATAATTCAATTATTTTATCAAAACTTATTTTCAAGAAAATTAATAGATGTAAGTTTTAATGTTTGATTTACCGATGAATGATATGGATCCAAAAATTATTTGAATAAACTTGTATTATTATACATGGAAATTAGCTCTGAATATTTTCTTTTTAATTTACAATATACAATTGATAAAAATAAGTTTGAATAGAAAATTATTCATTTTAGTTTTACTAAGACGAAAATAAAGTATATTTTTTAATTTATAATACTATTCTATTAAATATTATCATAATGTAAACATTTGTGAATAAATTAAGTATAAAATAAATTACCATGATTGACAGTTAAAACTTTCCTTGCTTTCATCTGCAGGAACTTGTCTAAGGGCAATCTTCCATGTTTAACATTGTTTGATATAGCTAATCTATGACATAGACCCTTTAAGAAATTAATTCGAGAATGTAAAAAATAACTAGAACACTCACACGAAAACTAATCTATTAATAAATATATTTACTTTTTGACAATTATGGTCAACAAGCCCACCAATTACATAAACATAATCATTATTTAATTCCTCTATAATATTTTCAGACTCACTTGTCAGGTACATAATTTTATCTTTTGAAAAAATATTTAAGTAACTTTCTGGGCAAAACTTTACCTAATGAATATAATATAAAATAATACAGTTTGTTTTATAAAAGTATCTTGTTATTTTATCATTATATTGGGTAATTCATAAAATATTTCAATATAAATACGTACATCCCAATGCTCATAACCATTATGTTTACCCATTTCATCCAAAGACTTGCCTGTAAAGCTAGTTAAAGAAAATTGCAATGGTGCAATCGCTCGCCTATTTAAAGTATAGCATCTTAAAATTTGCTTAATTAATTTTGCAATATCCTTACTAATCATAAATTCATCAAATGACAAATCAATTGTAACGTTAAGTTTACATGAACTATCTGCCATAGTACAACTTTTTAAAAATTTTCTAGATGGGCCAAGATCTAGATTATTTGCTCTAGCAAATGCTCGTTTTTCTTTCGCTTTGGCTCTCTCGCGTAACCTAAAATATACGATTTCTTAAAAGACTTGAAAGACTATTTTCCGAAATTCAGATATTTATAATACCTCTTTTCTGGTTTTAATTTCAACCACTTTTCGCGTTTTTTTATTTTTTTTAATTGACGTTTACTCAGTGCATTATCTGTAGACGTATCTTGTAGTTTTGCAGAAATTAAAATATTTTCATCCTTTTTTTCAGGATCTTTCACGATACAATCAATATTTTTATTACTAGTATCCATTTTTTTTATGAAATTAATATTTACATATTATAAAACATTATTTATTTATAATTAACTTTTTCTTAAACATTACTATCATAATATAACCTATACAATACTCTTCGACGCGTTTACATAGATTTTTTCTATTGCGCATGTGTGAAATCATAAAAAATTTAATTTTTATGAAAATGAAAACGTACTCATTTATTTAATAATTTAATACATTTATAAACTTTAAATATTTAAATTCCATTATTTTAATTTCAATTATGTTAAAATGATTAAATAAACTTTTATGTGTAATATTTTTGTTTTAAAATTTATATTAAATTAATGTAAAACTATTAATATATTTTTGCGCGCGCGCGCGCCCACAGCCCCCTTTGAAACTTAATAATGTTAACAATTTGTTATTAATGATGCAACAGGTAATCCTTGACTATTTAAAAGATGAGATTTACAATCACTAAGTTGTTCTGGTCCATTACCAATACGTGTATGAATGATATATTTTAATTTTCCTGCTGTCTGCTTTGTGAAATTGATTTTTTCCAATAAGTTCTGAAATAAATATTGTTTTTTACCATTTTATAAAATCAACGTGATAATTCTATTTAAAAATTAACCTTTGAAGGCAGAATAGTTTCGATAGCAATTCCTTTTTTATATTCAATATTGATATTCTCTATAGATGGAAAATAATGATCAAGAACACTAACAAATTCTGGAACATCTTTCTCTAATAAAAACAATGTTGCATTTGGACCAGCATCAAATGTATAAGCTACCTACATATAATTATAAATAAAAGGAATGAGTTTATTTTATAAAAATCTGATTAAAATTTATTCCATACACTTTTAATAACAATTTTTATTTTGTTAATAGCTTTATTTACCTTTATTTTACTACTAGTAGCATTGTACGAATGAATAAGATCAACAATAAGATGAGAAGTATCGTTCATATAAATACATGGAGGATAAGTGTCTAAACATACTGCATGCATTTGATTAGAATCTTTCATTGTAAGTTCTGCAAATGATTCAAAATCTTTGTTTAATATAGCTTGTTGCATTTGATTAATCTTAGTAGGCAAAATCTTATCAATTCTGTATTTTATGAGCTCCGAGGTCATTAATGTTCTCTTCATTCCCTGTGCACTAGATACTTTCTTTTGGGAATCATTTATAACTAATATTAAGATTCTCATATCAGGCCAATGGGAAACGGGTACAATTGGTTTAGCAATACTGTCGCTACCTTTTGGATCTGAACCCATGAACCATCTGACAAATCCTCCATACATGCTCCGACAAGCTGATCCAGAACCTACTCTTGCCAATTCACTTACTTCTCCCTATTAAAAATGTAAGAAATAAAATTGAGTTTTTCTTAATTCATTAGAAGATGAATGAAATTATCAAATTATGACTTTAAAAATTTACCTCTACTTTATAAAGTTTTGCAATAGTTGTAACAAGACAAGCATATCCAGCGGCACTGGATGCTAAACCAGCAGCAGTAGGAAAATTATTTTCTGAGCATATGTGAAGTTTCCAATTTTGCATTTCTTCAGAAATTTGAGCCCTTTTTTTTACTAAAAATTAAAAAAAATTTTTATTTTAGTATAATTTTTATATTATTATATTACTCTATTCACATAATAAATAAATATTTAGTGACAAATACATTCTCGCAAACAATTTTGTAACCTTGGATTATCCATTGATTGTTCACTAAAATGTATAATAATTTATTAATAATTTAATAATTTCATATTAATACATATATAATATTTCCATAACAAATAGATATATAAAAGACATACCTTCCATTCAACCACATTCTATCTTCTTTAAAATCTGAGCTTGCCATAGCTGTTGTCTTAGTACAAAGCTTTCAAAAAAAGTTAAAACATTAGAATCTCATCATATAAATGAAATTGAAAAAAATTTTTTAAATTAATTAAAATATTAACTAACATGATCCTTATCCAAAGTGGTACTAATTGAATCATTTACTGGAAGAATTAAATCATCATCTCTTTTACCCCCTAAAACAAATATTTATACATTTAGTATTTATTTATAAATTTAATATTTAAGCGAATAATTAATTTACAATTCCTTCAGTGTAATATAATTTTTTCGATGTATAAACGAAATAGCAGAATTCAGTACAATTCAGCAGAATTAAAATTATTAGGATTATTATTATTTGTATAAGCACTGTTTAAAAAACTGATCACAATCACTGTACCTAATTTAAATATGAGTATTTCCTTTGAATACAATTTTTTTTTAATGGATATTCGTTTATTTATCATACCTTTTATATTCGAAAGAACTATATTTAACATTACAATATGATGATTTTACATTGTATTCTTTACAATTCTTTCACGTTAAAATCTGCATACTTAGCGTCAAATGAGAAATAAAACTATTAGTTTGAATTAAAAAATTACAGCTTTAAAAATAATAAATTTAATAAAATTAAATAATGATAGATGACAAATATTTTAAATATTTTTAAAAAAGAAAGCTTAGTTGAAACTTTCGAAAGTTATGAATACGTAATGCAATACGCATTCCGTAATCATATAACTGTAAACTTTTCACTCCAAAAATTCCAATGTGAGAAGTCTGTGTAATCTTATAACTAGAATTATTTATTGCGATATATCAGAGTATATAATTTAATTATAATATAAATTGCTTATATTTAAATACTTACAGTATTTTATAACTGCAATGTTTATTGGCGCAATGCATGTAACTACATTCATTTTGAATATTGTAGATCTATCTTACTCGGTTCTGCGGCAAAATCTTGAACTCATCAGAAACAACATTCGCTGACTGTTACTACTTGTTACCATCTCCTCTGCTACATACGCAATCATGAAAAAGATCTTGAGTTTGCGCCGAACTAGCCTCTTCCCATTGGATAACGAACTTGCGCAAATTATAAAATATACATGAGAAAAGGGTCACCCGTTAAATAAGGGAACCATATCATAATTCAGAATATAAAAAACTAACGGCCTATTACTATGTAAAATTTAATTTATTTAAAAATGCTCGCGTTTAAAATTGACATTAATAATAATTAACCATTAATATGCGAGGAAGTAATTAATGTAATGTAAATTTTTTTTTATACATAAGCTTTTTACATTCAAAACACTTGCATTCTACTAATAAATAAATATGTAATACATATTATACTATTATGTCACATATACTTACATAAAATGTATGCATTTTATGGATTATTAATAATACTCGCTTGTATTAATCTCATTTTTATCTTTATATCAGAAAGCAATTTTGAATTTTGTCCGTGAAAATGCTCAAAATATCGAATTACTTTATAATGCTCAAGTCTTACGGTTTATTATGTATGAAAGCGGTTTTTATACATAGTTATCACAATATTTATTATTTCACATTATCTACGAATTTATATTTTTTACTGTTTCAAATGACTTGATGTATTGATTGTTCATTAGTAATGTTTACATTATAGTGATTAAATGTATTTTACATAGTTATGCAATGCAATACATTGTTCTTAATATATACTTGCGAGCTATGCATTTTCCCTCTCATATTAATCCAAAATGGCGAATATGCATAATCGTATAAATATTATTTTGCTACTCTAGCATTCGATATTTTTTTTTGATAAAACTCACATTGACCTTTCAAAAGATAAACGATAATAAATATTTCTTTAATGATTTCTTTCAATCGTCTTGCCATGGTCGTTCATAGTATTTGAAAATTTGTTTAGAAATAATTATCGCGGATGAAATTCAATTAACAATTAAAAAAAATAATGCGGCTAAAAAATTATATCCACCACAAGCTTCGTACGTATATTGCATTTGAAGTGTGTCGATTTTGACCATTTTCTCTACCACTTGAAGTGGGAGCAGAGATGAGAACAAGCAACACATGCATTCATATATGCATGCGCGCGCGCGCACACAATGGCTACATGTGAATGTAAGGTCATTATGGTATAGCTATATGTTTGAAAACTATAAACTGTTCTCCAGAACTGTATCGAAAGTAGTCAGTACTCAATGCTTAAAGTATATGAGCATAATATAATACAAAATATATGCACACTTAAACGGAAACAAACAGTTTGGAATAAACAGTAATCGTGTAGTGCAAAATCACGAGAGCAATCGTCGACGAGAAATAAGAGAAACGAGAGAGAAAAAAAGAGTGTTGTTGCACACAAAATGCAAACGCGTGGCTGCATAGCCAGCTATGCGCTTTGTTTCTTGGTGATTCAGGTAAAGTTGTCGAACTCACGCACGTCTTGGCGTCTCAATGCGGATAAAGTTGTGAAGATTACAACATCTAATGGAAACTCAGCAACAGCGCCGGCACTAGAGGACGACCTTATCCTTGATATCTTAACGGGTAGCAAGAGTCTGGGTAATGGACAGGGTTGGACAAGATCAGCCACGCCGTCTTCGACGGGCTCAGAGAAACTGCAAGTCTATTACAATGAGTGTAAGAGTTATGCATCTGGAACACAAGACCGGTAAGCAGCGTCAGATGATTAGATTTTTCAGTAAACCTTATCATGGAAACCAAGTAAAATTGTCTTTCGTTACTTTGGACTAGTCAAAATTCATCAAAATTCATTTTATCATTATTGGATACTTAATGTATTGTATACTTAAAGAGTTTTAAAAGAATATTTACCTTAGCTCTATCACCTTAGAAACAATAGAATTCTAAATATTACCAAGAATTGTTACAATTCGTTTAAAGTTATCTTGATTAAAATGTCAGTGGTTTGTTTAAAAGTGGTTTTATATTAATAATCTTTATTTAAATTCAATACAATTATTAACATTATCTATTGTACTGGCACAAAAATTATCTATTGTATGGCAAAAAAGGAAAATAATGAATACCAATTATTAATATTGTAATAAATATAAAATATTATACAATGATTATTGCGCTATAATAACTAATAATAGCTTATATTATTATTGTTTATAACTTTATAACAGAAATATCATGAAATTAAATTAGTTGATAAATATTTTAGACTTATTGAGTATATGCACACGTATATTATATAATTATTTATAAAATATGTATCAAGTAACTGCTAGAATTAGATACAAGATGTAAAAATTATATTACTTCAAAGTAACAAAAGATATCTACTTATTACCTATAATTAACACAATGCATGTTCCTAACTATAATGCATGTATAAAGTATGTATAAGTCAAAAGAGATAATAAATAATAGAATTATATATTTATCGAATTTACATAATAGTTTGATAATTTGACATTTACATATTGTTAAATTTGTGTAAAAGAGTATATGCATAGATACCTTTTCAATTTAATGTAGATATTTAAATAGTTTAATCTTAATGTATTCTATCTTTTTTAATAATTTGACAATATCTTTTAGACTATCATTGACCTATTGTAATTAAATATTTTTGTAATTTTAATTTATAGGAGTAATAATATTTTAGACTATTTTAATTATTAATCAATAATTAGCATATAAAATTTATTCTTATTTAAAACTATACATTAATAATAATTATCGAATTTTAGGTTATAATTGTTCTTATTTTTTTTAATATAATCGTCCTTGATAATCATTATTATATTTGAAAGAAGTGAAAAATGTATCTGAAAAATTATAAATAATTACAGTACCGTTTAACCTTTTATTTTTAAGAATTACATAAATTGGCTTATTAATAAATTTCACTGTTAGGCTAATGAATTTTAAGAAAATGTAAATAATCTAATGGTATATTATATAAAATATTTCTTTCTCTTATGTATGTAAGTAACTACATGTTTCTATTAGTAGGTGTTCATAAGTGTATATGTATAAATTTATTTATTCTGTAATCATTTTAAAATGTAGTGTAATAATATTAATGCGATAATATTTTTTATATTGTAAACCATACAAATGATTATAAATCTTCATAAGTTATTTTATATACATCAGTATTAACATGAAATGCTAAAAACCATTTCTATAATTATTTGTATAAATTTTCATTTTAAATAATTTTTTTAATTTTTATGAATTTCAATAATTATTACAATGCAAGTGGCTGTAAACGTTTAAACATAAATATTTTGATAACAAAAACTAATTCTGTTTCGTTTTTATGCTAATTCCTAAATTACTTTTAAGTTTTTAATGATGAAATTGATTTCAATGATAAATAATTTATTTTTAAATATAAAGTCTTAAAATAGACAATAATGTGTTACATGTAAAAAGTGTTGAATGGATAAAATTTTAAAAAATTTTGCGTGTATCAGTATGAAATGGTTTGTCTAGAAGGTGAGTTTGCATTGTTTTCACCTTCTGATGTGTGTATATATATATATATATATATATATATATATAGATATTGATAAAAACATAGGTATAGATATATATTCATATCGTACAATATCAAAAGTGTACATTCTTTAAGAAGTCACGTTTAAATTCTATAAGATATAATTAAAGTAGAAAAATTGTATAATTATAATCATGTTATTATTATGTTATTATATGATTTTTAATGAATGTTCAATAATCTCTATCGTCACCCTTGACACAAAAACTATACGCATGCTACTCACAAAATCATTATTCACCTCTCCCCTTCTAAATTCCATTGTTTCTCTCTCTCTCTCTCTCAATCTCTCTCTCTCTCTCTCTCTCTCTCTCTCTCTGTCTCCAAAGACCTCCCCAAAGACCACTGTATCATCATTAAGTTTCTTAATTTGTCAATCGTTACACTATTTTTCATTTAAAAGTAGCACATATCGTTTTGTTTTTGCCCGTAGTTAGTGTTTTGTGTGTGGCCTGGCATTCTTTCCAGCGTGTATTCAAGCAAGCATACTCTCATTCTTAAAAAACAAAAAATCAAACAAAACGCGCTTATGTACGCTCGGCAGACATTACTCCGCGTATACGTTGAAGGATGCCTCAACGAACGTCACCGAGAAGAGTTTTGGGCTTGGTAGCGCACCATCTGGATCACATGCAACATCCAGCGATCAGCAGCAGCAACAACAGCAACAACAACAGCATCAATTGACATGTGGATCATGGGGACAGTCATACGATGACATTGTCTTGGACTGCGGAAAGCCGGTGAACTTCACTTATTACGATCATCTGCTGGGCGTTGCTAATAGGAACAACCATCCATTGGTACCAGAACCTAATGTTGTCCTTATTTTTAAGAATGCTGATGAAAAAGTAATCGAGTTCGACATTGATCTATTAGAGCGGCGACTAAAAAGGGCTAAAAAAGAGGTAACTCATGTGTTAATATTTAGAACCAATAACACAAGTTGTTTTTAAATATCTTATTCCTACTATGTTTTGTACATTTAAAACATAGTATATAGAATATATATATATATATATATATATATATATATATATATATATATAATTCAACAAAGTTATAAATATTATGATTTATATCGGAAGTCTAATTGATTTCATATTTAATATTTAAATTTTATATTATAAAATGTTTTTCGTTAATATGAATTCTATAAATTTGCAAGAAAACACTGTGTTTAATAAATAGAAAAATAAATATATTATTTCTTCAAAGGTTTAAATACTTAAATTCCTTATTATTAATTCTAATATAATAAAATTCATTCTTAAAAGTAAAACTTTTTAAATTATGTTTAACGAAAGCGTTTACTGCAGGATATATGTAAAAGTTCAAGAATGTAGAAATTAAATTGTTTGACCCTCGGTCTTTTCATTTTAATAAACTTCCTACAATAAGGCGTAACACATATAAATGCTTTTTCCACATATAATTGAATAATGTTAAATTATACTTTGCAATATTATCTCAAAAATTTGGTACGTGTCTTTCTTTCTTTCTTTCTTTCTTTCTTACTTTTTTTTTTTAATGATGCATTCTCGTTTATTTCGAATGAACTGGCAATGACCTTAACATTCCAATACTTCAATGAAAATTGTCGAGTCAATTATTTCATTTCGAGTAAGCCTCGGTAGGCTATCATGAATTAAATATATATATATATATATATATATATATACACGCTCAATTTTAGAAACCAAAGTCCGTGCAGCTTTACAACCAAATCGGCAACTTTTGGCGCATCAAGGGCAATGCTCAGCGATCGATCGAGTGCTTCCGACGAGCTCTTGCAGTTTCACCGCATAATGCTGAAGTACTGTTAAATCTCGCCCGAGTCTTGCTAATGCTCGAGTACCTGGACGAGGCGTCATATCTCGCGAGGCGATCGCTTGAACTACAACCGCCTGATCGTAACGCCTGGGAACAGTATCTCACACTTGGACAGATATTTAAAGTAACATATAAAAGTATTTTGTGATTTTTAAATTAAATTTCATTTATATTTGAAGTATTAAGGAGGATGTACATAAATTATCTGTATTGCAGATAAAAAAAATTCAATTTTTGTAAGATTGTTCTTATCTCTGTTACATATAAGTCTGTAAATATTTATGACAAATTTTTGTATTGTCCGAGAAAAGAAAGTTTCAAAAAAAAGTTTATAAAGCTATGTACGTTGGATGTTGTATTTATATATACGTTTTTTATTAAAAAAATAAATAAAAAATTTTAACTAAAAATATTAAATTAATATAGTTTGTACAATTAAAAATTAGCGGAATAAACTTTCTAAATGATAAAAATTTTCTTCCAAATAAATGCTTTTCTGTATATCTATTACAAATTGAGTATTTGTCATTTAAAACAATTTCAAATATAAATGAAATCGCTAGTTAATATTGTAATTAAATTAATAATAAAAAAAAAAAATATTATTTTATTTTTTAATGCTTAGAATATTGATCTATTAATTTTTAAAATTTATTATTCTATTAATTTGAAATAAGTAAATATCAATACCGAAATGCAACTTTTTGTATACAAATAATTATGTAATAACTATTGAATAATTTCTTCATTGTTAAAATCAAAATATCAGAATTCCAGAAACATTAACCAAATAGGAAAAATTATAATTGATTCGTATTAATCTAACAATCAATTTCTTTGGTGGGAATTCAATTTAAGTAAAATTATTTTTCAATATTCTTATGCCACAAGTATATATATTTTTTTAAATATAATTTTATGTACTTGTATTCATTATCATAAATATGATTTTTACAATAAAATAAGTCTTAACTTAAAATGAAGTTGAAATAATTTCATAAAATCAATTTTAAGTATTGTACTGAAATGACAAAATTAATCGTAATAATATTCATTTATTAGATAGAGGTTATTAACATTATAATTTAAGTTACATTATAATTACGTGTATGAGGTCATGAATAAACAATATTAATTTACGTAAACAGACGAAACATAAAATTTTTGTATTTATATTTTAAATATATATATATATATGTGTGTGTGTGTGTGTGTGTGTGTGTGTGTGTGTGTGTAATTAAAAATCTCTATTTTTAAATGAAATTTATGGTTATATTTATTATATAATTATATTACTTTAGATAATCATAAATATCTCTATTTTAATTTTATTTGAATTGTGTTTATTTTGTATAAAGTTTCACTTTAATTATAATTTAATTATGTTTAACAATAAATTAAGGAATGGTTAAATAATCTCCATTATCTCCAAATTTTTTAATTTACAAAATGTTAAAGTCATATTTATAAAAATTATAAAAAGTGAATGTTTCAATATCATAATCTGCAATTGAAGAAATAATTAATTGTAGGAAAATATAATATTGAATAATTATATGTAAAAATAGTAAACATTTGTTTTTAAACATAAAATTAATTTTATTTTATTTTTTTTTTATGTAAATTTTTTACGTAAAGAAATTTTCGATACAAATTTTAAAATCTTAAATATTTTTAAACATTTATCAAAATCGAGAATGGTAAATCGGTGAATGTTACAAAAGCGAAGGAAAAAGATAAAAGCAAATAAATAATGTAAAATAAAAGTGTAAAAAATTTTATCATAAAATTCTAGTGATATAAGCTTGTAATATTTGAAAATATGGGTAATTTATATGATAAATTTTTTATGAATTCTGGAGCTGTTAAGGGATTAAATTGTTTAAAACATTGAAAATTTTTGCAAATGTGCCTTACATATCCTTATCCTCCTATACCTATTAATAAAAGAATACCATTTTAAAAATATGTTTTCGACTATATATTATTTATCTTTTTTAGGCTTTTGGATATTTTCAAGAAGCTGCCGTGCATCTTCGACACGCGTTAGAACTAAAACCAGACCTTGTCGATGCAGCAAAAGCTTTAAAAGAACTTGAATCACTTCCAATAGCCAGCATACATGTGTATACACTTCTCATTATAGTATGCTTGGTAAATAGTCTTTACATCAAAATTAAAAATTTAATTAACTCGCATAGTATTTCGATCATCGTCGGTATCTAATTATTCTTATATTACATTGAAAACTCAACTAAAACGCACTTACTTAGTTAAATATAGTTTTCACTGACTAACATTTACTTTTTGCAATAGGCTTATAGATTTTCTATCGATTGAATCGTTTTGAATTTTAAATATATAAGTATGTTAAAGACCATATTTACTTTAAGAACAATTCGATTTTATAATACACTTAAATATCAAAATTAATTTATGCTAATATCATTATAAAGAAAATAGAACGAAAACAAATCTAATTGAAGAATAGATGTTTTCAAATTATCTTAAATATTTTGGAAAAACAATAATTAATTCGGTTATAAATAATGAACGAATATTTTTTGCGTGTTAATAAAAATCTTAAATGATTATTTGGAAATATGTATTTATTTTACATACATATTGAAATATTTTAGTTTTACATTTGGCAGAACACATATAATACACGATTGATCTAATTTTTACACAATTTGTATGATATACATTATTGTAAAATATTTTACTATTCTTTAACAATGTTTCAAATAATTTTTCGTTACTTTAAAAATATATTTACTACAATATTTAAAAACAAATTTACAAATATGAATTCGAGATTTTAATATTATTAATGAAGATGATAAATTTATTTTCAATTTCACGTATTATTATTTATTTAAACTTGAAAAATTGATTTAATAAATATTTGAATTACAATTTTTAGTAATTTAAGTAATGTAATATAGAAATATTTTTAGTAAAAAAATATTTATTTTAAAAAATTTTATTTCTCTACAATAGTTAATATAATGCATTTTTTCAATTAATTCAAATTGAATATACACAATTAATATAAATAAAGCAAAGAATAAATGAACGCATACACACATTCTTTACTTTACATAAAAATTGGTTCAATACAATTATTGTATGTAAAAATTGAAATAAATTTACTAGTTAATATTACTCGACGGTGAGAAGGCCATTTTTATGGCCAATTTTTATGAATTACAAAAACGGGATGTTATTCAAGAAAGCATAGCTTTAAAATTAAATCCGACACGTTGCAGGTTCTTGGTGTTCTTCTAGTCGTCCTAAGCAGCGTCGAGTGCGAAGAAGATTCAACGCTATCCTCGGAACAACCTCAGCGGCCTGCACAACGTCACTTTAATCGTGCCATGGCAATGCGTAGTTTGCGCCTCAATGTTTCGCGTGGAAAACGCTGCTAAGTATCAGTTGTGACAGAAACGAAACTTAAGAATATAATTGAATTCCACTTCTTACGACAATAGACGAAAATAATTGTGCGTAAAGCAATTTATTATATGAACGATAAGTTAAGGAACAAAAGGAAATATATTAGCAGTTACGTCATGCTTGTCTTTCCTTTATTTTTTTTTGTACTCGAGCTACGTTTTAAAAACTTGTCATCTGCAGTCATAAAGTTTTGGTCGATTTACATTTATAGAACGAATGTTAAAATTAATTTTATTGACGAAAAATTAAATGAAGAATTTAATATTAGGGCATAAATGCACATGATTTTATTTAAAAAAAAAATTGACTGTTAACCGAAGACTATGAAATAATTCAAATTATTCAATTAAATCATACAAAATTTGAAATGTTAGTAACTTCAAATACTTCATGTAAATTTAGGATAAACATTCAGAGATATTTACAAAGCTAATCTAATATCTCAAATTTTGTTAAATAAATTAGTTATTTAATGGTTATTTTCAATTGTTTACCTCTATAAGTGTTGATAGTTTTATCCTTCATTGAAATCCTAATATTTTTTAATAAAAATAAGAAGGTATAATTAAATATACTACAAATTTATTTTATAGCTATTCTATATTTGAAGAAAATATGTATTGAGGGTATTCATAGTGTTTAAACACTGAAATTTTCTTAATCTATTCATTCTAATTACAACAGTGATATTTAGCGCAACATTTTTTCTTCAATGCGCCGTTACAATATGTTACACTGAATAGTAATCATGGCATTATTTTTTTTTTTTTTTTAAGCCACTATACAACATATCATCTTTTCTTAAAGATAATTAGGTTCCATTCATTTTTCCTTTAGATCATTTTCAACAATCTCAAAGCACGCGATTTTATTATTTTTCACATAGGCCTAGTGATTTTTTTTTAAGAATTATTCACTCTCAAGATACAACAATATGTACAAACTTGAAAATTCGGCAACAACTGAAGCCGTGTATTTAACTTAAATTCAAAACAGAATATAGATATACAAAAAAATTGTGAGCTAATACTGCAATTAAAAATCTAATATGAAAAAGAAAAACTGAAAACACTATTGAAAGAACGAACAATAGTTTTTAAATGCAAATCATGACTTTAAACATGTCATTTCAAAGTGAAGTATATTTAAGCTAAGATATCAACAATCTCAATAATACGCAACCATTTTTTTTTCTCATCTTTTCAATATCACCAATCCTAATTGCATATGCATAGAAGCAGATATATATGCACTTTAATGTGTATAACATTACTATTCCATGTATATACATATATATATATATATATATATATATATATATATATATATATATATATATATATATATATATATATATATACACACACATATATATATACATAAAATGTACATAGATAAAAGAAAAATCTATACTGCAGCTAAGCACAATTCCATCAGACATTAATAGTTATTAAAATTGCACCCAACTTGAATTTGTTGAAGATGCAGGTGCTGCGGTTGATGCAGCTGCATTTTGTTGTTGTTGTGAAGCGCTTGCAAATTCACCCCATTCAGGTCCTGTTCCCGAATGATTTTGTGATTTCTGTGCAGGCTTATGTGCTGGAGACATAGTGGATACTTTTGCAGGTGGTGGAGCAATTTTAACACCACCGGGCGGAGGCGGAAGCCCAATACCCGTACTTGATCGTTGTTTTGATTTAGATGAAACTTCACTACCATCCTTTTTCTAAAATAATAGTGAAAACAACGTTTATGTATAAATATAAATTAAATGAATTTTTCTTGTAAAAATAAATCATTCAGACTATTAATTAATAAAAATACCAATTTTTAAGATAAAATTAAAAATTAATTTACTTTAATTAAAAATATTAAATTTATTTGTTAACAATTCATCTTACAGCATTATGATTTTTATGGAATTTATGATTTATTTTATTTTTTGAGTTATAAAATGTTCCTTCCAAATATGTTAATGCTATTAAAAAATAAATTATTCAATTTCTATGGGGCTTGATATTTAATAAATTTAAATTGGATATAATTTAATGTTAATTAATATAATAAGCTTACTGTTATCTTCATGTTGATTTTAATGGTTTCCCCTTCTTTAAACCTAAGATCCAATTCTGGTTGTGGCATCTCTTTCTCTTTCTCAATTCGATCTCTAGTTTTTAACCACTTAAACTGATCCTGAAGGGCAACATTGAGATCAAAACTGTCAGACCTATCCATAAAACCAATGCCAATGAAAGCTACATCACCATTGTCAGATTTAATTCTTAATACAAAGTAACGAGAGGAGTCCACCACTGGCTCTACAGCAATACCAGGATATGTTTCTATTGGACATTTTGCATACAGCTGACCTGTCATCTTATCTTCCAATTTTATAGAAACAGCATCGCCTTGTGTCACCAATCTCAAGCGTCCAACCCATGTAGGATCTCCAACATTCCAGTCTGCAGCTCTATATAATTTAAAAATTATTTAACTTATTTGACGTTTCGCGTTTAAAGCGTATAGAATCACGAAAATAAATACGAATATAACATTTTCTAAATCAATAATCAGTTGGAATTCACTTGTAGCCAAATAACGTAAAGAACGCAATTTCGTAAAAATAAAAATGTTGTAAGGTAGCAGAAAATAGATAAACAGAATCACCGATAAAAAAAAAGAGCGTGTTGCAAGAGAAAATAGTTATATTTCTTTAGATTTACCGATAACCCCTGTTGGTCGACCTTGGTGGTATGTTATACACCATTACTTCTGATTTTACTAGAAGCACACTTTCATATGGTTCCGTTAATAAATCCATTGTCCACGTTTCCTACCAGCGGATAAACGTATATTTTAAAGAATCAGTCGTCAAAGCTTGACACTACTTCTTGACACGAGTACGTTTTGACAACTCGTTCGCTCTCTTACTATTCGCCAAACTGTTCGTTTTAACTTTCTATCTTACTCTTTCTTTCTCGTGTTCTTCGCTCCTCTCTCCGTCATTCACTGCCTTTCGCTGATTGTGGGTACGTGTTCGTGCATGCGCGTGTGCACCCACACACCCGCTCATAGCATATTTATGTATCTCCGGTGTGATTTGATAAGGATTATCTCTCTTCTCTGTCACGCCTCCCCGAGGCCTTTGAATTCCTCTAGAATATACGTATATAAATAATAACTTTACGTAGTTGATTACTTACATTTTCTAAAAAAGCATATTGTTATTAAACTTATAATTGGTGATTATATAAAATATAAGCGATTATGATAATTGCAAATAACATAGTTTTTTGGTTATCAAATTTTTATTATTATTATATATAAAAATGATATTGTTGGTAAAAAAACGTTGACACTCTTATTTTGAAAGTATCTACATTGTTTTTTTTTTTATAAATGCACGTGCATGCGAATGTATACATATGCATAGATGTATATGTAATATATGCATGCACACACGTTTGTATAGTAAATGCATATATGTGTATTAAATGAAAATTAAATTCATTATTTAAATATTATGAAACTATATCTACAGATATTGTATAAAAATTATATTTTGATTTATAAATATTCGATAAATTTCAGTATTATTAATTAAAAATTTTCCATTTTCAAAGAAATATGATAATTTTATTATGATTATTGTTTTAATAAACATATTTAAATAATGTTATATATTTGTATAGGATATACAGTGACTAATGTAATATTACTCGAATATTTTATTTTCTATACGTACATAACTTTTTGTTTTAGTAATTTTTATTTCTTTTAAAATATAATTCTTAATTTACTTATCAAATTTACGCGTGAACACACGCATATATATTACCTATAAAATACTATTTAAAATATACATTTATTAGTTAGGATTCGTTATTATTTGAATTATCAATATGATCGATCAATTTGACTATTAACTGAGTATCGTAAACTTCATTCGCAATACTTATTATGTGTTTCATACGTGGTAAATTGTTAACGATCTAGTAAGTACATATTATACATACGTTTCTTTAATAATAATAAAAAATCACTTATGTTTAAAACAAATTAACAACTATCTTTACAAATCGAGTGTTTCGGTAAATACGTAATATTGTAATAGACTATTTAGAAAAGAGATGGGTGTAGTTTTCTTGTCTATTGTTTAATCAAAATTTATTCATGCTTTTGTATTATCTGGATTGCAAGCAGTAATGTATTAATAGCATCGGGTACAAGTTTTTAATTTTATTTATTTATTTATTTATTGATTTTTTTTTTTTTTTTTTTTTTTTTTTTTTTTTTTGTTACTTTGTTTAATACTCGTATTTTTATTCCAAACCTTTTTTGGTTTTTCTTCAGCATTCTTACTCACTCTTCTTTGATGCTTAAAGTGATTGCTAAAGTACCTCCACAATTTTTACTGTTCTGCGTTTTTTTTCTCGTTAAATCCGTATATTCGGTGGCTTCTTTTCCAATTGTCAAATACCTTCGTATACCCAATTCGACGCGTTGCGTTGATTATTTTTCATAAGTTTATAATAGAATTAATCGTATTAGCTTCTAAAATTAAATTTTCGTTAGGTAAATTACATTTTTATATGTACAATTATTTATTTGAATATCATACATACACTTGTATTATAATACATTCTTTAATATTATAAAGATTTTGTTGAATGTTGCTGAAAATGTTCAAATAAAAAAAAAAAAAACAAATTATTACTCGTGTATTTCGGTTTGACTCAAGATATTTTTTTGATTAATTAGCAATTAAATTGCAATTTACTTACAAAATATTACATATAATTGATTTTAATTCCCATAGTCTCATAAAGTTTGTCCACAAAAGCATACCAATCAAAATATAGAAAGTATTATTTTGTCCATCAATGCTACCTATGATTTATTGAATTCTAATAAATTTTTAATTAATGAATTATTTTCATTTTATGTACTTTATGTATTCAAACTCACTAGGTCGACAATACCAATGACTATTCTGTAATTCAACATACATGCAAGAATGACAATGTACTTCTGCTAAATGCTTTCACACAGTCTTATTCGTCAAATCTGAAATAAAAAAGACAAAGTAATGTATTTTAATGGTAAAAAATGTATTAGCACGCAACTACAATATTTAAATTGATATTCCATTCGCGCCACTTACGCTGTACTAATTACGCACAAATAAGTACTTGCATTTTTCATCGTAAATAAAAATATCCTTTAATTATCCTGCATTACATGCATATGCAATAGAACTGAGACACTGCGCAGGCGCGACTATACATGCGGCTTCGTGGCAAACAACATATATGTATACCAAACTTCTGGCTTTGGGTATTCAATCAGATTTTGATGAAATCTGACTGTAGATAGTGGTATTGCTTATTTTCTACCTGTTACGTTATTTATTTAGTGTGCAATAATAAAAGATCAGGGGATTCATATGAAATGAAAGTTGTAATTGAAATATTTGCCTGTTTATTGGCAATCATCACAACTGTGAATGCCGGCGGTCCAACCCTCGTGCTACTCGATAATTTAGCAATCAAAGAAACTCATTCCATATTCTTTAAGATCTTACAAGGTATGAATTGAGACTTAAACTATGAATGCTTATATTATTTATTATTTTCTTAATTGGTGCACAGTATCAGTTACTATATATATTTAAATCTACATCTTGAATATTGATTATAGTTTGGAACAAATAATTTACTGTTTAAATGAGGCTTTCCTTCTGACACCTTTATGGATATATTATGTAAATAAAATTTTTTAAATCGATCAAATTAAATATTGCCTACAAAATCCATGATTAATTTTAGTAATGTGAACATTATTAAATTTTCATTCAATTAGCTTGTTATATTTCTCATTTTGTGTTCAATTTCTTTTATACCAAATAGTAAAGATTATTGAAAATTTACAATTTTAAAAGTACATCATATTTAATGTTTTAATATAATGTTTGAATATTAGATTCTTATTGTAATGATTCGTTAGATTTGTATTTCATTAATTATAATTTTTTAATTTTGATGATTTAGTAAACTTATTTAAACTATGCAATCTATGTATGCTTTATTTATAAGTAATAATGAATGATAAATAATAAAGATTATTGAAAATTTACAATTATAAAAGTATATTACATTTACTGCTTCGCAATAGTGCTTGAATATTAGTTTCTTCAATCTGTCATTCAATAATTATAACTTTTAACCTACGATTAAATAAACTTATTTCAATTATGTGATTTATATACACTTTATTTATAATTTATAAATAAAAAAAAAGAGTTTTATTATAAATTGAATTATTATAATAATTTAAAATATGAAGTAAATTTAAATAATACAATAGTAAATATATTATAACAACTTAATAACTATAATATAACTTAATTATAATTTATATAAGTACTAATAATAATTTAATATATAAATTTCAGATAGTGGTTATAATCTTTCGTTTAAACTTGCTGATGATGCGAATCTCTTATTATCTAAATATGGAGAATATCTTTATAATCATCTGATTATTTTTGCTCCAACTGTAGAGGAGTTTGGAGGTGCAATGAGTGTAGATGCAATTACAGATTTTATAGATGGAGGTGGCAACGTTCTTGTAGCTGCTTCCACATATTCCGGAGATGCGTTGAGAGACTTAGCTTCGGAATGTGGTTTTGAAATTGACGAAGAAGGTGCTAGTGTCATTGATCATATGAATTATGATAAAACGGATACTGGATATCATACAAAAATTGTCGCAGATCCGACAAATTTGATCGATGCTCCTGTAATAGTCGGAAGTAAAAATATACCACCGTTACTTTACCACGGAACTGGATTAATTGCTGATTTAGAAAATCCATTAGTGTTAAAATTATTAACTGGTTCAAGCTCTTCTTATTCTTATATTCCTGAACGACCAGTAAAAGAATATCCTCATGCGGTTGGAAAAAATACTCTGCTTATTGCTGCACTTCAAGCAAGAAATAATGCTAGAGTTTTATTTTCCGGATCTTTGTATTTCTTTAGCGACGAAGCTTTTACTAGTCCTGTTAAAAAAGCTGGAGGTAAATATCATCTTTTATTTTCGCTTAATTAAATATGTCCTCGTTAGAAAAAATATTAAAACAAATATAGTATAATAATTTCAGATGAAAATTAATTTTTCATTATATATTTTGCATTGTATTTATTTCAGATGATAAGAAACATGATAAATCAGGAAATAAAGATGTAGCTGAGGCAATGGTGCGTTGGGTTTTTAAAGAAAATGGAGTAATCAGAGTCTCATTTGTACATCATCATAAAGAAAAAGAATCACAACCACCTGCAGCTTACACAATTATGGATGATGTTGTTTATTCAATAAATGTTGAAAAATTGTCAGGTGATAACTGGGTACCTTTTATAGTAGATGATTTACAATTAGAATTTGTAAGAATCGATCCGTTTATTCGAACAACTATGAAACATATTGCAAATGGTCGCTACGAGGCCAGATTTAAAATTCCGGATGTATATGGTGTTTATCAATTTAAAGTTGATTATACTCGTATTGGCCTTACACATCTGTACAATACAACACAGGTGTCTGTCCGACCTCTCGAACATACTCAGTATGAACGCTTTATTCCAAGTGCTTATCCTTATTATGTCAGTGCTTTCTCAATGATGGGTGGTGTTTTCCTATTCTCTATTGTATATTTACACTACAAAGAGGATACAAAAGCAAAAGCAGACTGAAAACACAGTGATTGTAATATTCGAATACAAAGATTTTTTTATTGCAGTCTTACCATCATTTGTAAGGTAACTCAAGAGTCAGACATTTTGTACAAGTGTATTTAAAAAGTGTGAATCGATGGTATGTTAAAACAATAATTTTTCAATTTTCATAAGATTTATTTTTTGTATATACGCAAATAAAGATTTTATTTGAAAACTTCATTGTATTTACTTATTCATAATCATGAAATCGTTTAATTTTACATTTATCATTAACATTATTAATTTCATACAAAAATTACTATTTAATTTATTCGATATAAAATACGCACGGGCGCGCGTGCACACAATTCTCTATACGTGAGACAAATTAAAATACAATTCAGTCAATTGAGCGAAGGAAGTTGGCTGTCACGTGATCTTTGCGAATTCCACCATATTTCCCTCGCTTTTAAAGCAAGCAGCCGTTCATATTTGATGGTTGGAATAATAAAAATTTGTCTATACAATCGATATAAATTGATTGATAATGTTTATAATTTTTATTTCAATTTAGTTTATTGCATTTAATTTTTAAAATATTCATTAAATATGTCTAATAGTGAAGACGATAATGTTAGAATTGAAATTCAAAAGCTTTTAAAGAAAATAAACATTGACATGGGCAAATTGTAAGTATAAATGTATCTTTAATATTAAATATTAATTGCTTTTATACACGTGGAAAGAATTATTTCTTTTATTTATTCAATTGCAGAAAAGAAGAATTAAAATCAGTACACAATCTAATTGAAGAAAATGCTTCATTACCTATTACTGTAAAAACAGTTAATGAGAAATTAAAAATAATTGCTAAGGAAGCAGGAATTAATTTAGATCAACTAGAACATATAAATAATTCAGATGAAGAGAATGAAGATAAAAGTTCTTCTGATTCAGAAATACATGATCAAATGTTAAATGAAAATTCTCTATCTTCGGGCACAAAAAGCTAACAGAAACAATGATGTCGATCACAAAGTAATAATTAAGTTTCGTATTTTTTACATAAATAAAATTGTGTATATTTATTTTTATTAATAAAATATTTAAAGTTTATAAAAAGTCCATTTGAAAAAATTAGTTAATCTTGTAATTCTAATTTGATTTCATTTTTACCATTGCACCAATATAAAATATTTATGATATAAAAAAATATATATTATATTTTATAATTTAGATTCTGTTAACCAATTGAAAGTTTGTTCCTTACGATCAGCTTGAGGATTTATCATAACATTTATAATACTTGGACCATAATCAATCTGTAAACAAATGTACATATTTAATATTAAATAATGGGACTATACTGTAAATACTTGAATGTAAAATAATACTTCTAAAGAAATTTTTAAAGCTGCTTTAATGTCATCAATGGTTTTACAAAAGTGACCTTTCCTTCCAAAGAGTTCTATCATCTTTTCATAATGAACATTTGGTGTCAATGTATTAGGTGGTGTTCTATAAAAAATTCAATTTACTCACAAGATCTTTTTAATAATAATAATTAAAAACTTACGCGCTAATTATATCTCCGGAAGATCGAATTGTCTTGTATGTTTCCTCATCAAAACCACCATAAATTCCATTATTATTTATAATAAAAATAATAATTGGAAGTTCGTATCTAAGATATTGTAATATTTCCAAGTTTTTATTTATATTTTGTAAATAAATGCATTTATAAAATCAAAAAATTAGGAAAAGTCTTAGAAACCTAAACATTGTTTCAATTTCCATGCCAGAGAAACCAAAAGCACTATCGCCTTCGACGCAAATTACTCTCTTGTCTGGATAATTATCTTTACAGTAAAGAGCAGCTGCAATTGAGTAACCTAATCCAACGCCCATTGTACCAAATGTACCAGCATCGAGCCTATGCCTTGCAAGATTGTTTAATAACATAGTGCGACCAATGTCCATTGTGTTTGCTCCTTCAGAGCAAATAATACAATCTAAAAATATTTATAAATTTTTTATAATGATTTTCTGCATGTTATAGCAACAAAGTACAACTTACTTTCTGGCAGAAATTCTTGAATATTTTTAAATACAACATAATAATTTAAAGGTTCATCAGTATCCATACACATTTTCTAAAACAATATTAAAATTTAATAAAGATGTTTTATGAAAATATTTAGATAAAGATTGCATCATTAAAATATACTCTATCATATCTTATTATTCTGTCATTATAATTTTATATTGTGCATAACTCTAAAATCAACTAGATACTATGTAAGTTTGTATATAAAAACTTACATGAACTATTAATTTGTTTTGTTTCCCTTTAAGATCGAGTAATTGCCACCAAGGATCGTTTTTACGAACAAAGAAATTTTTATTTTTTAAATTTTTCGTTAACATTTCAACTGTAACACCAATATCTGCTTGAATCGCAGTACTTGCTGTTACTGAATTGTGTAATTCCTCTGCACAAATATCCACCTATATAATCCAATAAATCAGTTTTTAAGTCCATTTTATGTACAGATAAGTATACTGTTTTATACTTAAATTGTTATCTTCATGCAGCTATTGAAGTTCTTTCAAACGGGAATGTAAGAATAAAAAATTAATTTTAATAATACATCGGATGAATTTTACAAATAGGTTTAAACGCTAGAATAAAATGAATTCTGAATATTAATTTTAATTGTTTCTGTGAAATTGTATTCTTGTACTTATCAAAGCAATTGATTTTCAGTTATTCTCTACTTAGGAACGGTGCTTGTCATCCAAAATAATTATAGAAAGTTATGAAATTGACAAGATGTATCATTTTAGCTGTGGAATGGTTTAAGCATATGATTTGACAAACTTGAATAAATTTCGTATCGGGTTGATATCTTGGAGGCCGGCCAAAGTGAAGAATCCAGTTAAGACGCGCACCAAGAAGTAAGATCACATCGCTTTGCTGTAGAGCGACCGAACGCGCGCTCGACACGCAATGCGTGTCAATGTCCGGGACGACTCCTTTACCCATCGGCGTCGGTAAGAACGGTAAGGCTGTGCTGCTAATGAATTCGCGTATCTGGACCTCCGAGCGTGCATAAGCTGCACCTGCAAGCCAATTATTTCTCTGTGTCCATTATCAAGTGTTCGTCAAATTGTATTGTAATTAATAAGTACTCGTCATCTTATTAGTGGCGTTATTCGTTTTAATAATTATGAAAGCTTTATAATAGCTCTGCCCAGTAGTAGACAATAATTCAGGAATACAAGAAGATATACATTTGAATAAACAAATTTATTCAAATTGAAATCAATTCCAAGGAATAATGTATATAATGTAATAAAATGATTGAGCTTCCTTCGTTTAAGTGACAAATAATTTATAAGTTTTATATAATTAACGTATAGCACTGATATAATAAATTTACATTAATATTTAAATTTATTTATAAATATATGTTTGAAAGTTTCAATTGGAAAACTCATGCATGGTATATTAACTTAAACAATTTGTGTTTATCTATAGGTAAATACTTTTTAAAAAGCACAAAATTATTTTTAAGAATATTTCTAATGTGATTACGTAAAAGATATATATATATATATATTTTTTTTTTTTTTTAATTGAATCTGAATAATATAGATTGAGATATATAATTGTTATTTATAAAATAATAAAAATGATAGTTTTAAAAAATATTAAAAACCTTTTCCGATAATAATCAAAGGACGCTTTGCGCGGACTAGAAGATCCGCAGCATTTTCGATCAACTTGATATCCGGATATATGAGTGGGGGTGGGGGAACCGGTAACACTTTAATCACTTGACTAACATTAACACTTTGTTTTAATAATGTTGCGGGTAGATCCAAATAGACGGCTCCTAAAAATTTAAATTAAACATTGTAAATAGTTTCATGTAAATTAAATTTCAGTATTAGCATGAAACCATTTGGTATCAATAAATTAAGTATTTCATGATTATATGGAATACTATATTTTAAATTTCACGAATAAGGTTATAGAAAATTTTTAAAATAGATTTTTGATACTTAATTAATCATAAAATAATTGTTATAACAAATTTCGATAAATTTAGAACGATTAGGTTATTAAGCATTTCAAACATGTCTGTACAATACAGCATTCATACAATCAATTCATAGTCGATTTTCTTATATAAACATTATAATTGTGTTAACACGTTAATAATGATAAACAATTCTTTTAATAAAAAGCTGTATTAATGTCAAATATAACACGTATAGATATAGAAATCTAAATGATGTGAATTCGTAAATTTCAATACAGTTTCAATACTCGATCATTGTCTTAATATTAAAATTATATTACGAACGTGTAATTGCTTTATATTAAACGTCGATATAATTTATTAAATATTTAAGTAATATAATAATATAATTTCAACGAGAGAAAATCTTGAAAAAAAATGCTAGTTATTAATTTACTCATATCGATGTTTCTTTTTATCCATTATTTTCAATTATTTCACAATAAAAAGTATCGTAATCGTTAAACATTATCGAATTCAATACTTTTACCATACGAAATTATTATATTTAATACAGTGGATGCATTAGAAAGAGAAGCTTAAATAAATTGTTCCTGTTAAATCGCATAATTTAGAATTAAAAAATTTAAACACCCCTGCTTATGAAGTTATTATTTATAAAGTAATAATCGAATTTTATAATGCTGCCTATCCATTAAAAATATTAATGTGTAGGCAGCCTTGTTCACTCTTGTCAAATTAATTGTTACTTTTCCCTTTTCATCAATTAACCATAGCTTTTCTAAGCATAATATTCCATGGCCTCAAATATAATCAAATATCTTGAAAGTAAAGTTATTGAAAGATAAGTCGGTGCACCCGATAACCTGCGATTGCTTACATCCTTCCCATCGCCAAAATGAGAAGCAATCAATAAAGTTTATCGAGCGCAGGTGATCGAACAGAAAAAGAGAAAAGCAATGCACAGATTTAAGACACTCCTTAACAAAAACCTGGTCTTCCATATGTTGCGAGCCTGACAGCTTTCTCGACGTGCACAGGTATGAGGGATGCCGAAGGCGGCCTCGACGCGTATTTGCAGAAGAGGCGGCACGCCTCTACTTGGTTACATTCCTGGAAGCCACCGATACCTTCGTGATCGCAGGGACATGAGCCACCGAGTACTAGGACCGGCCTACGAAATTTGGTGAAGAGCGATTTTCATATCGCACTATTCAAAAACAATGCATCGCAGGGCTTTTTATACTTTCGATTATCGTCATTGCAAGTTTTCAATTAGGTTTTCACAAATAGTAAGGACCTCGCACATATAAACTTGACATTTTTATTTTTATTTGTTATGCAATTTTCAGAAATTTCGAATACGTAAGCTCAATCTATATTAGGTGAAAAATTCTATAATTTGTCGTAAACGATCTAAAATGATCCCTACGCGTACTTAATAATATCGCAATAATTTATGTTTAATATATAAGAATTTATAGAAAACGAGTTTATATACCGTACTTTATTAGACAATAAAAATTATTTTGTCGATATTATCTTCAAATTCATAGTTTTCTTGATTATATTAACATTACAAGATCTTTAATTTAATTCACAAAATATAATATGTTTTTAAACACTCATGTTAACAAAAATAATAATAGATTATATATATATATATATATATATATATATATATATATTAATTACCAACAATTAACTTGGGCGTTTGCCATACCGCCGATCACGTGTAACAATCCTGGTCCTGAAACGCAAAGAACCACCGCTGGTGTCCCTATAATACAAGTCTTTATTAATTAACTGCTTCAATGTATTATTGTAATATATAATTTCATTAAGATGTATAAAGCAACGATAAATATAAAATAAATGAAACGATAATTTCTTATGTCCTATGACCAAGTAATAATCTTTCATATAATTTCTTATAAAATACCGATTTTCATTTTATTATTAAGTTTAATTTATAGATAATTTAAAATGTAATTTAACACCATAACTGAATTTGCTAAAGTTCAGATGCCATTTGCAACAACAAAAGTATAATTTTAGAAAATTATTGTTATATTTTCAATTAGATATCTTAATGTAATTACGTAAAATTTTATAATACATTATTATTTTTCTATACTATCCTTGCATGTGTCATTATGCAATAATTAAAATATTTATTTTTTTTTTTTCATTTATTTATTGCAATTAACGATTCAAGTTTCGAATACCAAAATTAAATTATTATTTCATATTTAAGTTGCTTAAATAGTTCAAGATGAATACGAATAAATAATATGTTATATTAAACTTGGGGTATCTAGAATTTGTTTGTATATTTTAAACAAATTAATACGCGGCATTTTAATATCTATGAATTAATGATTTTTAATGCCCCCGCTACTAGTTAAAAGCACATTTATCGCTTAAAGGAATGTCAGCTTTAAAAATAATAAAATATTTATTACACATTAGAACTGTATTGTACATGTTTAATCTATTTAGACTTATTCTTTTCAACGATCTTTTTCCAACACATTAATAATAATAATTACAAAAAAGAATCGTAATAGTAACAAAAGATTCGTTTCACTTACGTAAACAGAAATTACATAAGTAAGATTAAAGCGGTAAAAGTCAAATATCCATTTACATTATTACAAATTTGAAATAAAGAAAAATTCATTTAAAATGTTGGAAGGCAACTTAATCGCTTACTTATTAACGACAAAATAAAGACAATGCACCGCACCGACCGGATTGTCACCCTTATTCGTAATTTTTAAATTGCCTGTAGCTTGAAACATTCAGTTTCGAGGATCATTGTTATTTAGCACCGATAAAAGCAGTGAGTGAGCCACGGGACAAGCATAATTTGCTACATCATCCCCAAGAATATTAAACTCAACTGGTCAGGTATCCGTAAGCTTGGGCAGCATAGCAAGCGGCTTGTTCGTTCCTAAAACCCAGGTACTGAAGGCCGGCGTTTTGCATGGACAATGCCAGCTCGATTACCGGATGGCCCATTATTCCGAATACGTAACGTATTCCCTGCAAAGAAAATTTTCGAACTGCATCTGTACGTGTATATTATTAAGGACGCTAATGTAATTTCGTGCCAAATGACAAGGACGCTAAATGTGGCCAGTTTAACCTGCGCACGACCATTGATGTAAGACCGCTTCCTATTAATCTAATTGTATAAAACGATTTCGCTGCTGATAGGTATCACAGGTTCTAACTTCGTTCCATTTATAAAAACTGAGCAATCTAATTTAATAACGCGTCTACAAAAGTTTGTTAATCATATGTGACATTCCATCGATAAGTATTTTCACATTCAACATTTATTAGGCAAATGCTTGTAGATATATATTAAACATTTTTTAATGGCTTAAACCGTTTCTATTAAATGCCGCTTAATATTTTACTGAGTATAAGCCTGTTTCAGAGACTTTAGATACTCGGAGAACAGATTTTATTAATTCCATCTTTACCAGGACATCATGCAATAATACTTTACTTATAAAAGTACTTAAATTAATGTAAATTATAATTCTGTCCTCTTATATTACTTTTATTTTACATTCATTCTATTACGATACTTTAAAATATAAATTATACAATGAAGATAATCATTAAATATCTATTTACTTATTTATAAATTAAATCTAAACCTAAATCTAAATTTTATTAATTTCATAATTTTAATTTTTATCTGAGAAATCCATGCATAACAAAATATTACAATAATTTCAATGCAGTCATAAATAATTATAAAATATTATTATTAATTGCACCTAAATTTTAATAATATTCTTAAAACAATAAATACTCTTAATTGAATGAAGGTGAGAGTGGACAAAATATCGTAGTCTTCGAAATATCGTAACTATACCTGTTATAAAACTTAAAACATTAACTATGCTTTATTACGTGCAAGATGAGATATATGTTACATTAAAAATTATTTTATAAATAAAAATATCAACTTTGTACTTTTCCGGAATTGGGTTTTAAAATAACAAAATTTTAATGCACCATCTGAACACATGATTAATTGTTTATGATTTTATACGTTTTAAAAATATAATACACTGCAAACGGGTTTAAGAATAAGAATATTTTAATTTAATTGCATAAATATAAATTAAATATATATATATATATATATATATATATATGATTTAAAATCAATTATATTTTTAACGAAATAACAAGAATCATGTGATTTATGACAAGAAAAATAACGATAATATATGATAGCGAGAAGTATTTTGTAACATTAAAAGCAGTTATTTTTAAGTAGATATTATAAATCGCTTTATTGACAGTCAACTAAATAGTATATTTTATTAATTATATAGTATTTAGGTATCCTTAGATTAAATTATTTAATTATTTGATTGGATTATGTTTTATTACAGAATAAATTTTATAATGATTTCTATAGAAAATGCTGAAATCACGGAACAAACGACATTAATTCGATTAAAAAAAGGTAATAAATATTTAGCAAAATGTATAATAAACATATCGTAAATAGGTAAATTGAAAGATAATAAATAGTAAATTGTATGTAATTTTTTTATCATTTTCCTTTTATATTGTGCTATTTCAAATAAATGTTTCGATTTAATTACTTAAATCATAATTGCAAAAATAATTTATAAAATTTCTTTATAAAGTCGCTTTAATATATAATTATGATACATTATTTAACACATAAAAAATAATTAATGGAAAAACTTTGGGAAAATTTGAACGAAGCGCTAAACAATTACACGATTGTATATTCGTGCATTAATTTGGTTTTAATGAAATTAATTATATTATTTAGATACAAATTAATCTTATATTGTATTATTCACTTTATTCATATAATGCCATATAAAAATTCATTTTAAATTTAAACATTTTAAACAATTACACGATTGTATATTCGTGCATTAATTTGGTTTTAATGAAATTAATTATATTATTTAGATACAAATTAATCTTATATTGTATTATTCACTTTATTCATATAATGCCATATAAAAATTCATTTTAAATTATCTTCTAAAGAATCATAACCTAAACGTATGAAAATTTGACAAATTTTATGTTTTACAAATAAAAATTAATGTAGAAATAGTAAAGGAAAACAAATTACCTGATCTTTAAGAGCTTCTGATAATATTTGATCTCCGTTCATGGTTAATGTTTTTGATTATGATTAAGTTAAAATAAGCTAATTATTTATATATTCATTTGCTATTAAATGCTAACCAAACGCCAACTGTTAACACAACAATGTATTCTCAATTTTTATTGTTGATAATAGTATATTATTCTTTCGAGCTTAATAATTAGTAAGTAGAAATAAAACAATTTTTTTTTCTTCTCATGAAGTGGATATTAGACAAGTGTTTTACAACGAACATATATGTCATGAATAATATGAGCTATCAAGAAATATTCAATGTTGCGTCAGAAGATTGTAAATTATCATAATTATCATTAAATATAACTATAAAGGTGTAAAAGTAAGCAATTATAACAATTTCATATCATATAAAGTATAAAATTCTTTTTTCAAATTATTGAAAAATCATTTAAAAAGTTAAATTATTGTTAAATTATTAATTATATTGTTTTGAAGTTATATTAATTAATTAAGTAACTATTATTAAAATAAAATATTTTGTTTAAATCATACTAATTCTTGCTTCAGTTGCAAATTCTAAAGATATGAGTGCCTAAGTGTATAAATACTTTATAAAATATAATTTATTAAAATGTATAGGAACGTTTATAGGCTTATCGTTAATATCAGCAAAAATATTGCGATTCGAATTCTTCTTATAATCATGTGAAATTTCTAAAATTCATAAACATTTAAGCTCATATTTAAAGACAAGTTGTACAAGTTGAAATATTTTAAAAATTATTCATTTTCTTTATTTCCACCAGATAGCGCCTTTATAGTACTTCAAATTTATTTCTAATTGTAATATATATTGAATTTATATATTATATATACTTTACTATAAATTAGTTGTACTCCTTAATGTTCTATGAAGAATATCAATATAATAATGTTAATTATTATTATTTTTTTTTTAATATCTGTTTTTTACATAAAGTGTATGAATATATATTATTAATTATAATAATTTGTTATCGTACGTATATTTTTTTTTATATAATACCTTTTATATAAAAATATTTTTCATACATGTAAAACATTAATAAAATAACAAACATGAAAATAAGTTTTGTTTATGAGATCTATTTTATTTATAAATCCATTAGTTGTTTGTGGTTGATTTTTAATTAAATTATTGGATAATTAAACAAAATAGACGCATTATTCAAATAAAACGATTCGTGCAATTTGTATATGAATGAATCTATTGTGAAATATCGATGTGATAGATGCTGCAATATTTATTACATTATGGTGTTTGACATAGAAGTAATGCCTTTTTCAAATTAAAATAAAAATTTATACTTGAAAAAAATATATTCTTATTTTATTGGATTTTTTCAAAATATTGCAAAATACACATTTATAAAAGAATTGTAGAAGTATTTTAACCGAAGTGATTTTCATTGCTACAGTCATTATTTATTTTTTATTTTTTTTTTTTTCATACACACAGTTATTGAGGATACATAATAATATTAAATAAATTAAATAAAGTTACCATAAAATTTGTCATTTTCAATATTCTACTCGGATTACTTACATTCGAGACGCAGGTAGAAGTCAACTTTACAGTTTCAATGTATGTTTCTTCAAATTTTTCTCCGAGGCTACAAAGCTGAAGATACTCAATATAAATTTAAACAGCATTGTAGAGTCAGTAATTTAAACTAAAATCTATGCTTAGAATCTATATTACGCGTACCTACGACTACGTACCTTTTAGAGGATAATAAAATAATTCTATAATTGCAATTTACTACTCCGGAGAACGGTTTTATTGTCTTACCTGCGTTCACGGCAATTTTTCTGATCTTTTTTGTAGAATAATGTCGGTAAAGGGCAATCCAGCCAAAGCTACAGGTAAATAAAGTATCTATCCCATATTGTAGCCGTTGGATGCCCATATATTTATGCCGTAGCATTTGGATGTTTAATATTTCTGCGCGTAGCACAAATATTGTTTCAACTAGCAATTATTCAATGTAAAAAATTCTGTTCATCGTTTAACTTGTTATTTATAAACAAATTTTTTTAATGACAAGATTACGTGATTAGTATATCTTTTAAATAAATAAAATTTTTCCTTTAAATTATACGATTTATTCAATTGTACTAGTTTTCGAATTTAGTGACATTCTTAGAAAAATGAAGCTTATCTGTTAATAAATAAAATGAAGTTCTGTAGAATTAAAATATTATTAACATATTTTTTCATTTATTAAAAAAAAAAAAAAAAAATAATAATAAAAGAACTTCATAAAAATAAAACTAATATGTGTGTCATATTATTAAATAGCTTATATATTATTATTCTTATTATATAAGCTAAAAATAATTTTTGTATAATTTCAGTTAATATTATTTTTATTATACATAATTTTATTAAAGAATCTTCCAATTGTATTATCTCAAAATATAGAATTTTTAAAAATTATTTTTTTTTTTACAGGAAATTGTGTTTCAATTACATTAATAATTCGTATTGTATTTCAGAGTATTTGAAAAATATTAAAAAAAAAAAAATTAAGTAATTTTTAATTAATCTAAGTTTATAAAAACATTTCTACACTATGGAGATGATTTTTGGTAATTGTACATTCGTAAATGCAAAATAATATTTTATAAGTAATCAATAATATTGATAATAATTTATAATTAAATAAGAAATTTCTCAGGAACGACCAATTTTAATAAAAAAATTATTTTAAATTTGATCTTAAATATTAAAGATCGCACGCATAACTATAGACTTTTTCAGTGGATCTTGTTAAATATAAATCAACAATTTTTCTTGCGTGAGATAATTTATTAATATATATTTAGAGAAAATTTGAAAAATTTGTTATCAGTATTCATTAAAAGTATATAATATTTAAATACAGGCGATAATAATTGCGATACTTGTCAGTTTCTTCATTTACACAATAATTGACTATTATTATTTAGAAAATACAACTACGTATATTTTACATTTAAATAGATTTAATATTTTTTAAATTAAAATTCGCTTTATTTTCAAATTCATAGAAAATTTTTATATCCATTTTATTTCCATCTAAGGATTAAAGGCGTATGTTAAAGGCGTATATTAAAAAAAAAAAAAAAAAAAAGAAAATAAAAAAAACAAATATTATAAACATTCATAAAGCATAGAAATTAATTAAGATGTAGGTATATATTTTTTTCAATTAATTATTTCAGAATTTATACTTTTGCCAAATTATATTATAGTTAATTAGTAAATGTAATATATAATATTGTTATAATATTTTATAAAAAAAAAAAAAAAAAAAAAAAAAAAAGAAGAAAACTATAAATAAATTTCAAATTTCACTAACTAACAAATAAAATAGGCTAAAATTATCAAGAAATAAAAAGTATTGTTATTAATTGTTCGAACAATCATGTACTTTTCCAACTATGAATAGTCAAAATGAAAAATTTTACAAGTGATTACTCAAAATATATTTATGTAAGAAAGTTTGTATTATTTATAAATATTCATAATATTATTATGAATTAGAAATTATTATACACGATAGAATTATATACATATAGAAAATATATATATATATATATATATATATATATATATATATATATATATATATACGAAGCAGTTTGACAATTGACATACCGTTGTTTAAAAAGATGATATAAGAAAAAAATAATAGTCGATTAGTGCAGTATGTATGCGATGTTGCAAAAATGCAGACTCGGTGATTATGCTTGTCGTGTCTCACCCGTGATAATTTGAGATTGTATTTATTATATCGGTGGGATCATAAAAGTTACTTCCATTTTATGAATTTTCCGAGGCTTCCGACTACGCTAATGATTTGTTACTCGCAATCAGCATATATATAATTCAGGAAGTTTACAATTGCAATCGAAGCCGTTATTTTTTAATCGCTGTTTCATTTTCTATTAAGTTCAGTTATAACATTGTTTGATCAACGTACAAGATGAGATACTATCTTTTAAATTTTAATATTTTAATAATTATAATAATTATATAATCTCATTGCGTTTAAAAGCTTCGATTATTTTAACAAAAAAATATGATTTTGGTAATTGAGAAATCGGTACAGGTATATATGATGCATTTCGCGAAAAATATTTTTCCATTAAAATTGAACATTTAAGAGTTGTACACTATGCCTTTATGTATTTGTATAAAAATAATAATATACAATGCAAATAAATATATTACAAAAGTATTCTATTAATTTTTCTAATTTTATTTTTTATATCGTAATAAAAATATCATTAAAAGTTAATTGTTTTAATAATAAAAAATAAAATAAACATGATAATATAAGTAAAGATATAGGTTTCTACGTTATTATTTTCACAATTTCCCATTAGTTAATACTTTATATGCGTAGCTCTGTTCTTATAAATTAGCTTTTCTATTAACAAATCGCTTCCCTTTAAGCTAATAGAAAGTTTTAGGAACCGGCAATAACTCATACAATTCATCGGTACCTTTAATTTCATTTGCGAGAAATAAAATGAAAAGTAGAAAGTGAAGAGAGAGGGACGATTTTAGTTTTCTGAGAAAGGTTGGAAAATCTGAAAATGTGAAATGATAATGTTCATTTTCTGTCCCCTTCCCTTGAAGGATATGAGACGACGTCTATAAAAGCTATGTGCGCAAAGCGACCCAAAGTCAGTTCTACAAAAGTTGCGAACATGGTTATTATGTATTGGTAAATTTAAGGTTCAAATTTATTTGCAAACAATTAGAATAGGCATTTTGTTAACCTATTAATAATTTTTCATAAGTTTTTGCATTTGAAATTGTGTGACAAGTTTTGGTGCGGCTTTATTATATGTTATAATTTTTTAAAATACCTTTCTTGGGTACAAACGTTAAATATAAGAATAAGAAAAATGGTAAAAAAGAGTTTAATCACTAATGTTTTCATAATGAGTAAGTAGATTTTTAAAATTATTTTTAATCTTTATTAAATAACAATGATTTTATTTAATAACAATTGATATTAAACAACATGGTCCTATTTAATGCATCAAGTAATATAAAATAGTGTTAAAGTTTAATTTAATTTATTTTAATAATGCTTAAATATTAATTTAATATTATCAATGTAAATGTATAATAAGCGTTTTTAAAAATTTAATATCATATAAGAATTGGTGGAAGGAAAATTTCTCACAAATACGTATTACGAGGAATAATATTTTTAAATTTGAATCTTATGTTAAAATATGCCTGTCATGGAATTTTGATTCATACCAATTGTGTACGTTTTAATTTAACTTTTATTCGTATGTGTAACCTTAAATTAAAAATGTTTTTATAATGAAATTGTAATTTAATTTGATTATAAGACTAAATGTTGTTAATAATTATAAATTAAATTTGTTGCTGGCAATTAATATTTGAATTGAAATCGCTTTAATAATAATACATTAATTTTTATTTTTTGAAATATTTATTTAAAAAATGCAATTAAAACAAATGAATATAATTTATAAAATTCAAATTTTATATTTCTTTCAACTTCACACCAAGATATTTATTTAAAAGATTAAAACGTTGGCTAGAAATGCTAAACTTTTGATACTAGTTAGTTAACTTTTAATGTTTTATATATTAATATTTAAAAATTATGGATAATTGTTGGAAATACATACGTAAGTATTCTGTCATATATTTTGCATTATTGTATTCATAAAATTGAGTCAAATACGAGATCTTATATATGTCTATTAACAATAAAAATATATATAATTTAAACCATATCTCTCAATTTTAATTGAATTAAAAAAATTTTTTTCTTTTTTTCTTTTATACCTACTTGAAAGATAGTCATAATTGTAAAATTATGATTGTTTATCGTGATTCTTGTACATTTTTGAAAAAAAAAAAAAAAAATGAAAAAAAAAATGTTGTTCTTCCTAACAAAAAAGGAAGTGATTATTGAGGTAAATTTCTGAGTTTAAAAATTGTATTAATTTCTTAAAAAAATACATGTCATTGATAATAAAATGATTTTAAAATTTATGGAACCAATTATTAAAATTCTTATTATTCAATCTTTTAACGTGGTCATAATGTAAATAATAATTAGGAAGTTTGTAATAATAATGATTTTACGACAAAAAATTTGGAAAAATTGTAAAATGAAAATTAACCACTTTTATATACGTTTCGCTGCGTTCAACGTATTATATAACAACAATTACAATAATAATAACAACATACTGTTGTTACTATGTGCGTATGTTTTATAATATCAAAAGCCCATGGTTACGTTAAATTATAAAAAGATATCGACATTTTATAGATTTAAAATTAAATGCAACAATATTAGTTTTTAAGTAGGTTGCACATATTGTGTACGAGTATAATCGTTAATACATTGGATAAGTTAAAGCTCGTGCTGCTTTTAGGATGGTTACCGATTCGAGGATTGATGTGCGTGATGATGTTCACGGCTTGCTGGACATCGTACATGTGCCGACTGCAAATGCCAATTCTTGTCGTACCGATGATTGCAGATAAGTTAGGATCCTACACGAACAGTAGCCTTCGCTTTGGAACGTTGGATAACCCGACCACTGAGGAACATGCGAACGTATTATGGCGTAGCCCGGACGATCTCATACAGGAGGTCGCCCATGCCGACGCTCTGTCAAGGTTTAAGCGACAGGCAGAGGGCAACGACTCGGTTAATCCAAGGCAGATCCTTGATTTCTTCACTAACCAACCGTTCTTCTGGTCGTCTTACGTTCGAGGTTCGTCCTGGCGACGAATTAAAGAATTCTTGCTTAGAGACGTCAACGACCATTTAACATTAAATCATCAAGAATTTCAGAGATTACGGATTCGGTGATATTAAATATTATGCCTCCTTACACGGGCTACCTTATTCCTACAGCTTTCGCTCTCGAACGTTTAATATAAAATGATATTTGTTGATGTAAGACAATGAGTATAAAAATAGTTTATTGCCTTGCTTAAGTCATTCTTGGCATGCAGAATTAATCTGTATCACAGATAGTCAAAAGCAGTTACGTAAGAAGACAAGCTATGCGCATTTGGTTAAAATATTTACGTTAAATTACTCTTGTTAGTAAAGATATTTCGAGATTGATAATGTTTGTGTATGAAAATAAGTATAGGCTCTAAAAGATATTTGTTTTAGTATAGGTGAGTTACTGGCAGCGTACGCGTATGGTAATGTACCAGGCAATTTTTTGGGCGGCATTATGGCTTTGAAGTTTGGTCCCCGAAAAATGATCCTGTGGACGTCTTTGATATCAGCGATCATCTCTTTAATAAGTCCATTGATCGCCAACTGTCACTGGATTGCCCTGGTAGTCTCGCGTGCTATTGTCGGCTTCATGGGTGGTGTCTTATTTCCAGCGTGTCACACTTTAGTGGCCAAGTGGGCGCCTCCTAACGAAAAGTCACGCTTTGTCTGGTCATTATTGGGTGGCACTTTTGGCACTATCTTCACCTTCCCACTAATTGCCATTATCGCGGAAACTATTAATTGGGAGACCGGCTGGTATTTACCCTCAGTACTTATGCTGCTTTGGGTTTTCTTTTGGTATCTTCTAGCGTACGATTCGCCCGTCGAACATCCGGGTATTACCGACGAAGAAAAAAATTACATAATTAAGTGAGTGTTATTTTTTTCATGCTTTCTGGATACAAGGCTGCATATTTTTTTTATTATTTTTTTTTTTATTTTTATAAAAGTTTTTGAATTTTCTATCGTCGCAAGAATAAAATTTTCCTTATAATATTTCTATTTCAAACAAAATCTTAATGTTAATCTTAGTGTTCGGTTACTTGGTACTTTACAAGGTGTTTGAATAGTCGCGTGTTAAAGTAAATAAAGAATAAAATAATAAAATAGAATTCTAGTTGAAATTAAAACAATGAACATAAAAAACAGAAATCAACGGGTGGCTAACTCTAACTAATATAAATATCAATGCTATTAGTCGTGTTTAAATTTAAAATTTCATTAAAATTTTGAAAAAGCGAAAATTGTTTCTCGAATTCATTCTAATATATCCGGATTCTTGATACACCGATTTCATGATCAATTCTCATACGTTATTGTATGCTTATTTATTTATTTACGAATCTTATTTTTCTATTTAATTATTTATAATGACAATATTTGTATAGCTTCTTGTAATAAGTATCATATTTTATTTCGTTTTAGTGCCCAGGCGGGGTCAGTAGAATCTGAGAAGCAAATGCTGAAAGATATGCCAGTGAAAGCAATTATGACCTCCGTGCCATTCATTTGCCTAATAATATTACATTTTGGCAATATTTTTCTCCTTTTTTTTTATCAAAACTCATTGATGTTGTATCTAACGAAGGCGTTAGGTTTTAGGCTTGTGAAAGGCGGCATACTGGTTTCACTACCTTGGGTTGCTCGAATGTCCTTCGGCTTCTTTTTCAGCTGGGCTAGCGATACGATCAAGAGGAAAGAAATCCTTTCGGTCACTGCATTGCGCAAATTCGCAGCAATTTTTTGTAAGAAACAAAATTTTACGAAATTTTATTTTAATATTATACAGAATATAAGGAACACATCAGATGATTTTATATATTTGAAATATTTAATGATTGCAAAGATCTAATGATCATTGAATAATTAATTTTATGTATTAACAAGCTATGACGAAATATTCGTTTTGAAATCCAAGTCCAATATAATATTAACGCTTCATTTATCAAACCATTATAATCTAAATAATTGTATATTACATAGCAATAGAAATATTCAATGACATCTCAAAAAGAAGTCTAGCCAATTATTTTTCTAAAAACTTCTGAAATAATTTCTATTATTTATTGCAATATAATAATAATAATAATAATAATAATAATAATAATAATAATAATAAACATTTGATTATTCACTAGGCTAATGATAACAATAATTGATACGAACATGCTTGTATGTTTGTAAAATGGTATTTCATAATTATATAAGACTCATGGCTATGTATTATCTCCAGCTCACTTAGTGCCTGGTGTCTTTCTCATTGCTGTCAGCTATGCAGGTTATTCATTCGTCCTAGCCAATATTTTCCTGTTCTTCGCTTTGGGATTTAATGGAGCAGCAAGTATTTCAAATCTCTCTAATAATCAAGATTTATCTCCAAATTATGCTGGATTTTTGTATGGAATTATGAATACAATTGGTTGCGTAGCTGGCATGGTAATTCCTAAATTAGTGGAGACTATTACAGGAAGATCTGGAGTGAGTGTTTGTTTCGTTATGATACTTTTGCAAACCTCAGTATCATCACTTACATTGCTCTTCTTACCGCTTCATTTAATCTGACAAATCTGAATCCTTTGTACTGTCTAGTACTATGTTGATTAATTCATAGTACGGATAGTACTAGGAGTTTTATTTGTCACCATCTAAACTATCTGCACATATCATGCATCAAGGGATAATATTAGATCATACATTGAATAATACATTGATGTTTAATAATCATTATTGGGCAAACCTGAAACCTTTGTACTTTCGTGTACTGTGGTGATCGACGCATAGTACGGACACGTACATAGGAGTTTTGTTTGACATACTTCTCAGTTATTAAACAAAAACAATCATAGGAATTGTGATTTAAAATATTTTTCTTAATATTAAATATACGATATATAATACTTTTGTATTCAATAATACAAAATGTATCTTGACATTATAATAATTTTTACAAGTAGTTGAAGAGTATAATCAAACTTGTATATATTTAAATGTATTAATATTTATTAATCATCGTCAATAATTTTTGTTATCCATCTATTGATTATAAAATAAATTCCATGAATATAATAATAATATACATACCTTGTTGATACTCATATTCAATGCATATTAACAAATTATATTACAAAATTGAGATCTTAATTAATTTAGTATTTAAATCAATATAATTGTATTATCTAGTAAATAGATTTCAATAGTAAAATTCAAAGTAATTTTCATCAATAATAATATAATCATTGGATATGTTTCATTATTTTTTAGCAAAAAAAAAAAAATATTACAACATATCAAATTTTATTACAGAATATAATTGATAAATGGCAAATAGTATTTTGGATCAACGCAGGAGTAACTATATTCTGCATGTTAATATTTATTATTGGAGGTAGTGGAAAAATTCAACCTTGGAATGAAATATCAAAGACAAGAAATCCAGTTCATGCGTAATGAATTCAAAGGATTTTTTTACTATTAATTAAAAATTATTGTTTATAATTGCGATTATAAAATTTAAGAAATTTTAAGCCCTCTTATATAAAATTTATATGAACCAAAGGCATGTATTATAAATCAGATTAGTATATAAGTGAAATAATATGAAGTATAAATTCTAAGCCACCAAATGAAAATTATTAAATAATTTTAAAAATTCGATTTGCTTTATTATTTTTCTTGTAAAATACTTATTACATTACTTATTTTATAAATGCCTATATCGGTTTCTTAGATGTATAAATTTCAAATGGTAATACAAATTCTAATATTTAATATATAACATCCAGAAAAAGACAGTATAGTATGCAAATATTTAGGAAATACATTCTAATTTTTTTAACAAATTATATTGTTTAATATTTGAATGAATGTTCCATTTAATATTAATTGATTTGCACAATTCAAATAAAATGTTACAATTGTTACGATCAATGGATAACAAAAAATTCTTTTATTCACTGCATAAAAAGTAAATTAAAGTATTAGGCACTTCAGTGACATAATTCAAAATATAAAGAATTATTCTTTTTATTACAGTACCATTATTGTAATTAAAATAATTTTAGATTTTTGTGATTAAATGTCAAAAATGAATCGTTTCGTGTAAAAAAAAAAAAATATATATATATACATGTATATATTTGTTTATAATTATAAAAAATATTTCAAAGGAAATTCATTCGTGAATTTAAATTAATATCAGCAGTCTTAAATATTTTATGCCAGAATATTAATAAGTTTCTAACCGCACATAAAATTATATTAATATCAATTTTGTTTTTTTTTCATTAAAGCTTTTATAGTAATTATTATGTTAATTTTATAAATGTCTTAATGCACGCATGACTGTTTTAATTTTAATATAATACGATTAATCAATATAATACAACATGTTGAGAGCACATTTTTTACCGATTAAAGATGCGTATTCCTTTATTTCATCATCAATCAATTTATTTTGGACATACCGATAAACTCCATATGCCATTGCTTTATTATGATAAAGTACTAAGACCTGTAGTTTAGAAAAAATATGTTTCAATTAATTTCACATTAATTTAAACTAAGTATAAGTATTACAAAAACATTTATACCTGTTGAATATCTACTATACCATCTTCATCTATAGCGGATGAATCTTCATTTAATCTGCTATATTTTGAAATATCTAACTTTGGTAAACATTTGTCAACATCGCACCAAATATAAGTTTCTGGGCAGAGAAGTTTTGATGGCTGCATTCTTGCTTTGTAACGCATTTTTGTACACGAATGAATATAAAATCCCATGTAGTAATACTTCAAATTTGAAGCATACTTGTTTAGTTGTCGAGTTAAAAATATTTCTCTAAGAGAACTAAAAAATTAAAATAGAATACAGAGGTTGTAACGACCAATAGTAGAATATATTGAGTATTGACCAGCTGATATGAGAATAATTTTTTAATCTTAGATTTTTACTTATTCATAAACATAAACAAGATATGGAATAACTTTTATATTTAAATACTATTCTTTTTAATAAGCTTATGTCAACTTATGTCTGTATAAACTATAATAATAGTAAATTTACCTGAATGTTCCTAAAGACAAATGAGAGTACGAAGGATCATAAAAAAAATAAACACTAGATAAGCAATATGGTAGAATATCAATGACAGCCACAGCTATCAATGCTCCATTAAGCCAATATTGTTCATGAAATGCTCCATATCCATGAGGTGGACCATCTTCTGGAATCCATTCCTTTAAAAAAAAATAAAATTAAATACTTTATGTAAAATCTCAGTCGTAATTAATTGAATCTAATTTGATATATGCAGCTGAACAAAGTGTACCTGCAATGGATTTTTTACAAGAAAATTGAAAAAACTTCTTTTATCACAATCCTTAGGTTTTTCTTTATGAATAGCCATTTGATAAGTTTTGAAAAGTTTAACACTCTTGTCAAGTGTATTTGTAAATTCATCTGACATTACTCTCACCAACCTCATCTGACAAAGTAACAAAGACCTTTGCGTAAAATAAATTACACATAGAACACTCAAACTTAAATTCTCTAATCTCTAATTTTACATAAGTCTGAAAACAGGTCCACTTTGCTCCAATTATTGTTATGTGAAAGTGTTATTTTAAAAATCGTTGTTTTTACAGAATTTGGTTTATAATATTTAAAAAGTTCTTATTGAAAATATTGCTACCGCATACAATAACTAATAAATAAAGAAAAAATTATTTAAGAATTCATTGGCTATTAGCAATTTTTTAGTTATGATTAAAATAAATAAGTATAAGTTAAATCTTTCAACGCGCACTTTATCAACTATTTTAAAAAATAATAAGATTTATAATTTATACATTGTAAAATATTTTTAAATAATACGATAATTACTGAATAAAATAGTAGTATATACGAAAAAATGGCAATTATTTTTACTTATTTTATAAAAAATTTATGTCACATATTACGTTGTAATTAATATTATAGTTGAATTGTAATTAGCATTTTATTTTAAATTTTTATGTTAAATGATCATTTAAAAATAATATTTATCATATACTGATATTATTTGTGAAATTTTATAATTCTGTTTTGTTTCTTTTTAAGGGAAACCAAAAGATTTATATGAAAAATATATTTACATCTACACTGTTCATTACACATTTAATAACAATAAATAGTATTTAAATTTTATATTTAAATTTATATTGAATTTAAATTCAAGCAATTCAATAAGTAAAAGAATTTAAATTTTAAATAAAATATAAAATGTATATTTTCGTATTGTTGCTAATAGATTATAATATTATGTAATTATTATTAATGAAATTAAATAAATTATAAATTATTATAAAGTTATATTGAATTTAAATTTATTATAAAATTTATTATTAAATCTTATTATAAGCTATACAAATGATAAATTTGATTAATAAGTATATTATATTAATGAAATGAACAATGTTGATAGATTAATGGTCTCTCTATTTCATTTATTTATTTTTATGTGATTTTGTGTAAAAATTAAATTTTCAACCAAAGTCTTGATTTTTACAAATTTAATCAATTTTCATTCATTAAAGATTAATGTTTGCATTTGTAATATATTACTATTATATATAATAATTGTCTGTAAAATTTTTTATAAAAACTGAAATGAAATTTATACTTATTTATTTTTATGTACATTCAATTTTTAAAATTATCACTAATTTTATAGAACTTTCACATTTCTTCAATATATTTTATAAATAAGAGAATTAGGAATTAGATTACCCTTAAAGGAGAATGAACCAGAAACCTTGAATATCGATCCTCTGTAAGTTTTTGCAATTTATCACCATGAATTATCATTTGATACTTTTTATAAAGTTCAAAAGATTCTTTAGCACTAGCCATGTAACTATCGCTTATCGGCGATGTTCTAACAAGTCTCAACTTACGAAAATAGAATAATTTAAAATTTTAAAATCGGAGTAAAGAGGACTGCTTATTGTACTAAAATATTATTAATCACAATTAATTAAATATAGTAAACGAATACCTCCAATTTATTTGAGCAGTTATTAATCTCAGTAAATAAATCTTCTAGAGTTTTGCCTGTATTTTGTGATTTATTTTTATTCATTATGTTCTTTATTTCTTCCTCTGTCTTACCCTGAGCCAATAATTTATTTTGTTTTCTTTCTATTCGTAAAAGTTTAGCTTTCTTTTGTGGCTCTTTAGTTGGATCAAAATTTCTGCGAGTTGCTTCTGTAGTTGTAGTTTCCATTGGTTGCTTTGATAAATTTGCAAAATTTTCATTTGATTGGTTACTCGTACCTGTTCTTGATTCATTATTGCTTATGCTAGAACCTAATCTATTGCCAAGCTCTTCTGATACAGAAGTCACTTGCATTTTTAAAGCATTTTTTTCAGTTGATTCAACATATTTAGAATAATCTGGAATCTCTATATTTCTAACTGTTGGTAACATTAATTTATTTTTTCATAATTAGAAGTAATATATCGGAAATTATTTGCGTTACACGACCTTACCTATGTCTTCGTCACACATAATTACATTAGATTTGTGTTCGTCCTTTGTCAATTCATTTTTAAGAAACTTTATCATTCGTTTGAGAATTTTTTTTTGCGATTTAGTAATCTTAAAATCTAAAGATTCACATCTGAAAAAATATGTCAATTAATAATTATTTTAAGATACTTTTTAATATTGTGTAAACACAAATTTTTACTTAATAGTATAATGGGGGCAACAAGTCTGACTCATCATCGGTTTATAACAATAACAACCACTTCGTCTCCATCCTCGATCTATTAAATTTTGATAATGCTGAACAGTCAATAGTTGAGTAGACATTCCTATAAAAAAACAATTTGTATACATTACAAAATACCACAAATAAAAATTTATACAATATATAATTAACATGTGATAATGAAATGACACATTGTTTTCAGTCAATAATATAATTCACAATATCAATAATAAAAATAAACAAGTATTTTAGTTTTCCAAATTATTAATTGAAACAAACAGAATTTGTATATTTTATAGAATGATAAACTCGATTCTAGCACCTTAATAAAAAAAAATATAATTATTCTTATGAATATAAAATAATATTGTATTATGAATATAAATATAGAATACATTGATAATAGTTTTAATCTAATAAATTTGTATTATATTTAATTGAATTTATTTAAAATCTTTATATTAACATACTTGTAATACATAAAAATTCATAAAATAAAGTTGTTGTTTTCTCAAAAGCAATTTGTATTAAAGATTATAGCTAATTATAAAACTAAATTTATTGAATACACTTTTAAACTAATTATATTTTTATATTTGAACAAGCGCGTCAACAAAAATTGAAAACAATATTTTTTTAGAAGTAAATGTAAGGTTTTATATAATTAAGATATAATTTTTAAGATATTATAATATTTCCTAAAATAGTAGTTCAAAGTTTATAATTTTGCAATAAGATTTATTAAAATGATAATAATTAAAATATATTTGTGTACGCTTGAAGTTTTATAAAAGGTAAAATATAAAAAAAAAACCACTTTCATTTCTATCTTATACATCATTCTATTATTGAATATATATTTTTTACTTTAAGAAATTGAAATGGTAATATTACAAAACCAAACTTTTTAACATACAATTCATACTGATTTTTCACATGCAAGGCCAAATATTATTACGCAATATTTTAATAATATATTTAAATATTTACCATGACTATAACTTGTATTTGGACCACCGCAATATCCGCATCTATTCTTTTCCTGTTTTGAATGATAAGCGATGATGCTTAACAGATTGCTCGACATTGTTTCGTCAATGACTGGACGTTGTGTATGGTTGGAAAGGCTTGTAGCATACAAAAAACTTACGAAAAAGTTTCAATATCTTTGAAATTGGAATTTTCTATTAAATGCTACGTTAAGAATTAAGTTATATATATATATATATATTTTTTTTTTCCTTTACTTGCCTTTTATGCTCTGTTTTTGAGATTAGATAATATATATAACGTACAAAATTATAAGTATAACTGGTGCATGTGAACTTTGCTCATTGTATAGCTGAAAATAATACTTATTCTGTGTACGCACTTGTACGTATATAGTTTTAAGTCATTAACGTAATCGAAAAACAAAATGCACACTGCACTAATTTATTCATTTATACGAATGATGTTTATCTAAATTCTCTGCAATGCTGTAGTCTCCGAAGGAGACATATTTTACAGAGGCAGTTTTTACAGCACCTTTGTATTAAGGTAATAATTATAATGATTGTTTTTAAATAATCTATAAAGTTATAAATTATTTGCGCGATATGAATTTAGTGGTATATTCCAATAATTTCATTTGCGCGTGTTTATATTTTGAAAAAGAGTGCAATTAATTGAATTGACAATTTTTATTAATCATAAAATTTATCTTTTATTTTTATCTATCATCACGATGTTTTAAATGATGAATTAATATTTTTTTGTTTAATAATCATAATGTATATTTAAATCGCCATTGTACATAGGCTATTAGATTGTTTCATTTTCATATTTCAATATTTTAATTTGACACACACAGACTCTGTGGTGTAGCAAAGTTTACTTACTTAGCCTTAGACGTTGTAGACTTAATAGTAGTAAAAAAAAAAAGTAGTAGTTAAATAGTTAAAATTACGACTATACTTTTATGATTTTATTTAACTATATATTTTATTCGACTGTATAAAGTAATAAATAAAATACCCACAATATATATATATATATATATATATATTCTTATAAAAATATTAATTTATTCAATACCCTGATAAATTAAATAATATTCGATATAAGAAACAATAAAATTAGAATGTTCAAGGTAATAAATAACTATGTGTATAATTACAAAATAGAAATAATTTATCAAGTAATTATATAAAATATATGTAAAACAGATTATATTTTGTAATATTTTTCCAAATCTTATAAACATACTTTATAAATATTTATAAATTTTTCCATCTATTCATTTTAAATGCATTAATTTTCCATGCTTCTCCTGGAAAATGTTGTAGTTAAATTGTCAATATCGAAAGAAACGTGCATGAAATTTATTGTAAATTATTTTATTATTTTTTATATTATTAGTTGTAAAGATTTACATTATTTTTATTGCAGTCACTTATACATATTATACGTTTTTACTTGATATTCACTAAATTAATGATTTAATTATTTATCGACTTTCTTTTTATACTGTTTCTCGTATATTTTCAAATTTCTTTTTAAAATTGTACCAATTTGACTTCAATGACGTTAAAGTATGTGTTGCATTTATAAAATCGTCAACGATTTAGTTATTTACAATTAATACAATTTTCAAAATATTTTTCGATAATATCTGTAAATATTATCTGTCATGCCTATATCACTGTAATATTTATGCAGAAATTAAAAACTCTATTGCATTTATATTTGATTATTTAGTAAAAACAGAATCTAATGATTAAATATATTATTTTTTAAAATGTTTTAAAAATTAAGTATAATTAAATTTTTTATAAACTGAATTCATAAATCATGTTATATACTTTATAATCATTACTTATAATCAAACAATAATAATTGTAGAACAATTACTGTACTTATTTGATTACTATTAAGGTTTCGGAATTTTTTGTGATTGTAGAGCTTCCAGTTTTTGTACGGCGATCAATCATGAATATTTTACACAAATTATATATGCGTTTTTTGGTCACGCGTATTTTTAAAATTAAACGCAAAATTAAAATTATGTACGTATGTACTTTACATTATTTTCGACATATTTTTGTAACAAGAGAAATGTATTTATTGTTAAACAAAATTACAAACAAAATTAATATTAATCCTAGATCATTGAAGTTTTCTAAAATATTTTAACGTGACGTTTGCTTGTTATTTTATTTAATTTTACTGCTCTCTTTGTTCTTTATGGGAATTAATACTCTTTTTTTATAACGTAGAATAGAATTTCTAGAATTCGAAAAGTAAATTGAATCTTAGTTTTCAGCAAATCATCATTTCTAACTTTTCAATAATCATAATAAATAAAATAATAAAATACTTATTAGATTTCTCCGAACTAGTTTTCATAAAAAAATTTCAACGTCAGATCTGCTGCAGACAATTTAGACATTTTATTTTATGCTGTTTCAAATTTTAATACTAAACAAATATCATTTTGTTCTTGAAGCTCATTTGCCTTAAAATAGAATGGATGAAAGCTTTTTAGTATTTGAAATTTGAAATTTCTTAGAGTTTTATTTTATAAAATTTCATAATTAACTTTAACGTATTTTGTGGTCATATTTTTTTCTAAAATCACGTCTTTGACGTCAACCATGTTTTGTTATTATTGTAAAAATTTTATTAAGCCATCGATAGTTGCATTTAATATTTTGCATGAAAAATAATTTTTATAGAATAACTTTCTTCCATAAGTGATTCGAGTACAGAATTGGAAAATCATATTACGTCATGGAAATTCAGAGACTTAATAAATGTAGGGAAGATGTGCAACTAAATTAATTAATACAAGTATCCCATATCTTATTTAAGCCTAAATATTTTCAAATTTATTAAATAATATGTGTTTATTGATATTTAATATGATTGTATATGATAATTGTAAATTTCTTATTTGAATATAATACATATTTTTATACATTTCAGTGAAAATATGATTCTTATTATATAAAATTTCTGTATAAATTATTTCGCAATTTGAAAAGTAAAATAATTAAAGATTTTTAGCTATTAATTTCTTCATTTTTATTAATAGTATGTTTGAATGTCATTAAATTTATTGAAGAATTGTAAATAATATGTGTTTTGAGCTTTAAAAAATTGTGCTTATTATTCTTATAAACTAATTATTTTTATTAGATTAATTAACTTATTTTATCAACCTTCCATGTATCGCATTAATTAATATATATAAAAATTTAATTCAATATTCAAAAATGATACGGATAATATTATATATACATACATCTTCAATATTGGCCTTTATCAAGTCTTTCTTTAATTTATAATTTGTATTATTATTGTTAATTTTTGGAAAATATAATAAGTCCTGATTTTTAATAAATGTTGCCTCATAATTAATTGAACGTTAATTAATATATCCAATAACAATAAATTAAGAGAATTTTAAATTTTGAGATTAGATTTTAGAAAAAATTATGAAAAAGTTAAGGAGAAAAGTTTAGTGAAATATATTTTTCATATGCAAATTGATGATTACATAAAATAATTTATATACATAAGTATTACTTGTTGCATCTCTTACGAAGGTTGCATTAATGATAGATTGAAATTGTTTTTGAAGTTTGTTTATGTTTAAACTGAAATGTTTATGAAAATAAAAAATTTTGTATCGATGCAATTTTCGAATAACGATGTGTTGCAATGAAAAAGTGAGTATATCATTTCGATTACAACAATATAAATAAATTAAAATTTTTATTTAAAAAGTGCTATTTTCAAAATATTTCTTATTAAATAAAAGACACTGAATTTAATAGAAGTTCATGTTTTACTAAATTTACGTCTTAACAATATCTTATTATACAACAATTAATGCCGTTGTAGGAGAGTTAAATTTTATTAAATGCTATAAGTAGTTAAAAGTTCATTAATACAGATTAAAGTTTTTATAGAACCTTTTTTAGCAAATGCGGTGATAATAACAATAGTTTTTAATAATGTTAAAATATGATACGAGAATATAATATGAATATTATAAATTTTAAAATGAAATTGAGTAAATAGAATTATCAAATTATACATGGCATACAATGAAGTCTATTAATACTCTTTTTATTTATTATTATAATATATAAGAATAATAATAGAATAGAATTTCAATCAAAATAATTTCTGCAATTAAAAATTCGATATTTTAAAATAATCATAAGAATTATGGAAATAAAATTATTCACTTTTAACTGGACAATACAATCGAGCCATTTTTATAGATAAAAAAAGCGCCTTTGATGATTCTCCGCCCACTCTGCGAAGCTTTCGATTCACAAGGCTTCCTCCTTCGTGCTTTTATCGATTACTACCTTACATACGCGCACAAGACACGAACTACAGACGAGTGTCTGCGTCACCCACGTAATGTAATATCGCGCAAGGCGCAAAAGCAGACATCGGCTCAGCAATTTCATGAATGAAGCTCACTTTTTCCCACTATCTTGCTAAGCGGACATCAACAGGCGTCTTTTACTACAGAACTTTAAGAGTAACCAATCGATTTTCACCCCTCCACACTACTTCGATGCGTGGGCCGAGGGTACATCTCCTCCCTTGCGGGTCGTGACGCGTTCGTCCTGTAGCGTATATTCGAATAAGAAAACCATTCCCGACACAACCCAATGTGTACATTGTCGAGTACTCCCTGGGGAAGCTCCAATGCAATTGTGATTAGAAATAAATTGCTTGATTAAGAGATGACAGTCAAGTATTTGCTATTTAAATTCATCACTGGCAGGTTCAATGGTATGGAATTTAATTCAATATTACATTAAATAAAGTTAAACCAAATATAATCTATCTTTAAAGAATTTTGTCACTTATTTGCATAATAAGTGAACATCAATAACAAAGAAGTATATTAAAGAAGTTTAATTAAATATTTAAAAATGTTGTCATTCTAAAGATATTAGATAATGAGTTTTTCAGAAGTAGGCGTATAGTACTCGTTTAAAATTCCAATTCAATCTACCCAACTATATGGCAACTAGAAATGGTTACAGTAAAACAACTAAAAAACCTCTGTAATAAAACTCTAGATATAAAAAAAAAAAAACAAACAACTTACGCTAAAATAACTATATATCGTTTTTGTATGAAAATGTGGAGTTATAAAATACATAATTTGTACATAATTTGCAAATATATATAAATGCTAAAATCACTATTACAATGAAGTTTTTATTCATTTTAATATATTTTAGCATTTTACCAAATCTACTTATTTTATTTATTTCTTATTATTTGTATATAATGACTTTAATATATTTAG